GACTTATATGTGAAAATTAACACATCATTATATCACGTTATTTTCACACTAAACCGCAAGAGGGCGCTCTAGGCCTGTGTTATTCTACCTTCGGAGTTAGCAAAGTTGTTTACAAGCGACACCGAGGATGAAGATTTCATTGCGTTTAGTGATTTGGAGAGACACGTTTGGTTAGCGTTTTATATATGCTATAGTTATCTGAATAACTCTTAACATGTTATGCTAACATACAAGGCACATTCTCAGTTCGTTCTTTGTCATGTAACGTTAGCATACTGTACAATTATTCAACCTGTTGTTGCCTCTATTCTATTTTTATTTTAAATTGCCTGTTCTTGGTGTTGGAGTTTATCAAATAAATTTTTCTCAAAAATGCGACTTATACTCCGGAGCGACTTACAGTCCGGTAAATACGGTATGTTAATCTCTTTGAGAATGTTCTGTGACCAAATATGCGTCTTTGAACAGGATAGGTCTAAAACCTGTTTACTACATTTTGTGAACAAAATCATTCCAGATTTTCTTCTGGTCAGTTTTGCCTATTTTAATCTCCTTTCAGAATGAGCTGTTTTAGGGCGTCTCTTCACTCCTAATCAAAATAAGCTGCTACTGGCGACATCCTCCAACTCAATGTTTACAGTCACATTATACAAAGCTCTTTTCTGAATTTAATTCAACAACAAAGCATTTGTACTTTCCAGCAGCTGTTGTACAAAGGTGAAACCAGCTGATCAAATGTGCTGGAGTTCCATTTGGGTTGCTAGGTAACGAGGGTGGGCTTGGCTTATATTTATGTCACAATTAAACTTGTACATTTTTTGTACAAGTGTAAACTTGTACAAACTTTTGTACATCACAATTAAACTTGAATAAACTAATTGGAACATCAGTGGGGGAAAAAAAAATCAAAAAAATGTATTTGTGAAATTGTTCTGACATGTTGGACCTAATTCAATCATTTTGACCAACAGTTTTCCAACTTAATTCCAGATACCAAAAAACATTATCTCATTGCCAAAGTGTGGCTGGTGTTTTTTTAATGCTTGTGCAAAATGTAAATTTTGCAGAATAGGTCTGTTTTGGAAGGAAGTGTCATGTAAGGAATTATCTGAATTTAATGATTATGTGTGAGTAATAGCAGGAGAGAACATTTGATTTCTGTAGATTCGTCTTGAATTGGCCGGGTTATGGGGGGTTGATGGCTGTTAAAAGGATCCGTTTTCCACGCTGCTACCGGAGGTGGTTGATGGCTGTTTCTACTGTGGTGGAAAGTAATCTCTGCTGCGTTTTTGGTATTTACCCCAGCAGGCAGGCTGGTTAAACACATCCTCCTTTCAGTTTGAGTGGTAAAGAAAAAAAACAAAGCAGACACATCTTGCTTTCAGAAGCCTTTTCTCAGGAAAGCTGTGGTTTGATTCACAGATTTGTGACTGTGCTTTGAAACTCTGTGAGATTTTCCCTCTTCTCACTCCGCCGGGAAGTTAAAGCTGGCCTGAGGCTGGATATCATATCTGTCTGCATATGGGGACTTCAACAGGACAGATGCTGGAAGTCATCAGGACTTGAACCTCAGTGGAGGAGATAAACAATCGGATCAGAACCGGCGCTCAGCCTCCAGGCGAACGCCTTCTACAGATGGCATTTCTCTCTATGGGCTTAGTTATTGTTAACACATATGACACAATAAATAGGACTCCGAGACTACCATCTTCATGCAGCATATTGCAGCAAATGTAATAATGCCGATGTGTTAGTGAAGGGTATTTAAAGCATACACATTTGCTGGTTGTCATGGACTACTTGTAATGCTTGTCCAGTGGCTAAAAAACAATTTATTTGATTATTTCAAGCTTCAGAACTGCCCTGAAGTGTTTCAGACCTGGCTACACGCTCTTTCATTCTTTTCATTATACACTAGTTTTCTTTCCAGATGAAGAAAATAATTTGTGTGAATTGGTAAATGAAGCCGTACAACTAATCAGAATATAATTAAAAAGTTCTTGTATTCCACTAATTCAGTTCAAAAATGGAAACTTTTATAATAGATTACATAAATTCATTATTCAGTTATATTTCAAGAATTTATGACTGCTTCTCTGATTGCTGTGCTTTCCAGCTAATGAAAACAAAATATTTTTCAGGAAATCTGAATATCACATTGAACTAATGGAAAAGTTAGATTTAAAAATAATTCACATTATGGGCATGTTATGTCCTACACTACCACTGTAATGCAAAGACCTCCTCTCCAAGTTCACTAAATGTCATTCCTGAAAGAAGCTGGTTGTTCAGGATGCTGAATATCAATAGAAAGTTTAGTGGAAGAAAAAAAATGCGATGTGGGGAAAAAAAGGAACAGAGAAAACTAAATCCTTAACAGGATGGTGAAGCGAAACCGGTTGCCGGTTGTGAATTGTGGTGAGGTCCACAATTCACTGACTAAAGAAATAATGGAAAAAAGCCCCTTCTTAGACACTAATCCACATTTTTATGCCAAAATTTAAGACAGAAAGAATGAATTACAGTGTCTGTTTGTTCAAATACTCACATTTCAAAAATGGGTTATACATTTATGAATTTGGTTTTTTTGCTTTATTTCTCTCTTCTTTTTGGTGGGTAATATTGCAGAACAATTTGGGTTCTTGAAGAAAAAATGCAATTCCCATTTTCCTTTTCTCTGTTTAGACATTTGCAAACGTGTCCAAATGTTATTTTCTCGCTTTACCGGATACCTGTGTCCATCAAGTCAAGTCCATCAACCTGACAGTTTATCTGCTGCCTGTTTGTCTTTCGCTGCTGTTTGTATTTTCCTTTAGTCTACAGAGAAAATTCCATCATAGGCACAACTTGACCTGTCACACATGATGTAATCTGATTTAATCCGATTTGTTTTGGTTGAACGGGAATGCTCAGTAGCCATATACAGTTTATCTGACTGAACTGGAGACGTTTAGTCAGAAAAAGGTTGGGTGAAATAGAGTCTTTAGTCAAAGGCTCCTTCAAATTCGCCGTAATACAGATTTTTACAGGAGATGTTTTCTGCCAACAATTCACTGGCTATAATAACTATCTGAAAAATTTGAATTGATATGAATTACAATAGCATTTTATTTCCCTTTGGGATGAAAAAAGTAGTTTTAAACTTGAGTTTGAAATACCTGCTTTCACCAGTATGAACCGTCCCCACAGCATGATCCTACCACCACCATGTTTGATAGCTTGATTTCTTTTTTTTACTTTTTTTTTTCTTTTTTAGGACAATCTGGACTTCTTGTGTCTTTCTTTCACTCTTTCTTCACTCTGTAGCTCTATAGTTCAGTTGTTTTACATTAGGTGTGACTAAGCCCATCACCATAATCAATTAATGTCATAATTTTATTTTTGGTTTTATTTCTGTTTTGTTCATTGTTTGTGGATATTTAAAATGTCTTACAGTTCCAGTGTGTAGTATTTGTTTTAAATTAAAGTTTATATATGCCATCTATAATGTGAAAATGGTTTCAAAACATTATTGGTTATCGCAGTTATTATCGGGACAATTTATTGTCCAGTAAAATGTATGATAGTTCTGTCTGTAGGCGCTGTCTGTCTCTGGTGAACTCTTGACTCGTATCTGCTGTAATCTATCAGCGGATGTGATCAGATTAGAGTGGATTATGCTGATTATTGGAAGCTCAGACAAGACAAGTCGACAAACAAATCTGCAGACAGTTATCTGGAATGTTGAGTGTATGAATCCTTAACCTGCCCAAATGTAGTTGTAAAAAAAAAAAAAATCTGGATATGTGTGTGTGTGTGTCATTCACTTGACAAAGAAAAAGGCTTAAACATTAAATTTGGTTACAGTCAACCTGAAACAGGTGTGACTTATGAGCACATCTTCAATTTTATTTTCTATTATATTTCTTATTTAGTCAGTTGTCTTCTCACTTCTTTCAATTCTCTACCAAATTGAGTTAAAACATGAATTTGAAAACTCTACAATTGATCTTTCTTCTTTGGCCTACATGAATTTTCTTCTTTTTGCTACGAACCAACACCAAAGCACAGAGAAATAAAAAACAGGCAGAAAAACAAGCCAGTGGCTCTCAACAGGGGAAAAAGAGGTAGGAACACAGATTCAAGGCCAAAAATGTGCAAAACACTTTAAATGAGGGTCAGAGTTCTTGGCCACAGACGTTAACACTGGGTTTAAAGTTCAGTTTTTATAAAACCTCACTTTAGAAATATTGGGAAAGATTTGATTCTGTAATTGCACACTGGTGTGCACTGCAAAAACACAAAATCTTAACAAATATTTTTGGTCTAGTTTCTGTGCAAATATCTCAGTATACTTTAAATAATACAAAACTAACTTACAAGTAACTTCAGCAAGAAAAGTTACTTGAAAAGTAAATATTGTTTTAAGACAATTTTCTTAATCTTGATGACAAAGATCTTAATCTATTGGCAGATTATTTAATTTATAACATGGGAAAATGTCCTGATATAAGTGAAATAATCTCCCAATGTGACAAGTATTTTTTCATCAATATCAAATAATTATTTGCCTAAAACAAGCTCCTATATCTTGCTGAAAAGTTAGTTGTAAGTTTTGTGTTATTGGGGTATATTTAGTTATTTCCACTAGAAACTAGACAACAAATACTTGGTACAAATTTGTATTTTTTGCAGTTTAGGGCACAAGTAAACATGAGCAATGATTTGACTCTTCACTAACTTTTATTCAGACATGCATAAATGTTACAAAAATTACTTTCTCATCTACCCAGTTTGCTTTTTCACCCAATCTCTAAAATAGTACTTCTATTTATATTTGTTTTGGCAGCAAAAATCTAGTACAAACAGGGTTTTGTGAATTTGGATTTGTCCTTGCACAATTGCTAAGCCTTATTTTCAATGTGTGTGTGTGCGTGTGTTTAAATCAGTTCAGAATGTTTAAATGAAGTGAGATGGTTTTTTATTTGCTTTATGTGCCGTGACCATCTGTGATATTGCAGACCCACCATAGATAACCAAGCGAGACAACAGAGGGCAGAAAGGTAGAAAAAGACAAACAGTAACAGCTACACGATGGGAACAAAAGAGAGATGAGGATTAAAAGTACACCAACATTAATTGTGAGCTGCAGCGATTCCTCAGCCAGGACTGCAGAGAAGCAGGTATTTTTTCGGATTTCAGCTGCTCTTCTCTATCCGGCTTAAAGTCCCTCAACTCTGAACAGCTGAAAAAAAAGCATCCCCCACAGCATCATGCTGCCATCACCGAATGATGATGTTAATTTCAAGACGTTGCTCCCAAGGCAGGGCTGGCAGGAAAATTTATCACGATATAAGTGTTTCATACCATTTGATATTGGTAATTGGCGATTAGTATATTTTGTTTTAAATATCTGAAGTACTACCAAACTGGAAACGAGATCTTTCCTGTTTTATCCACTGTTTTTACTCCAGGCCGTTGTTTTTTCATTATCATTATTTTCAAGCGGTTATGAGGACAGTAGAGAAACCTTAAACTGCCGTGTGAAGTTGAGCGGCCAAAGTCTTTCCTTTCCCTACATCTGGATCAGAGTTTAGTAAATGTTTGTTCTAACACTTAAAAGAATATTTCAAAATGTTTTCAATTTTTTTTTACTTAGTCATAAAATAGATTTAATTAGGAATTTTGTGTAATAGGTGTTCCTAAAACACATGTAAGTTTTGTGGTTCATCTTGTTAGTCTACCCCATAAAGTCCCAGTAAAATCCATTGAGATTTACAGCGGTAATATCACAAATGTGACCAAGTGTAGAGTGCGACAGCCAATATTTACATAATTTCCCTAACTGTTAACATAACATGTGGACCTCACATCTTTCTGATTATTTGAGCACTAATAAAATATTAGAAATGGCGTCATAGACCATTATTGATTGTTAAGATTAGCGACAGCTGAGGAAACATTTATTTTAAGAAATAAGCAAAAACATAAATTTCGAGACACAATTTTTGTTTTTTTGCTTTTAACGCCAGGAGACAAAAAAAAATGAGGATCTAAGCCCTTAGTGACCCACTTCTGACTGAAAGTAACCACAGCATGGTGCCATAAGTCCAAATAAAACAACTTTTACTGTTTAACTGTTTGTCTTTTTATTAGAGCTTCGTGTTAGTCAGGCTTGTTGTTTCAGAGGCAGCTGAGGGTTGGACCGCTCATGTGATGCCTGTTATAAAAAATTACTTTATTGCATCTGCTCCTTGTTTTTGCGTCTTTAAATCATGAGTCAATCAGCATTATTTATTGCATCCAGATGTTGGTGAAGCACTGCATTTTTTCCCTTCATCTCCTCATGTGTTCTGTCCTGTTGTTCTTCGTGTTGAGCTAAAGTTCCCCACAAATCCCGAACATGTAAACTGCGCTCACAAAAAAACACGGTCTGCTTTATATTGCAGTGATTTTCTCTAGCTGCATGTTTTTTATTAGTGTCATTGCGTTAACAGGCTGTACCAAGGATCCAGTGATTACAGGAGTCAAACTGCTGTGACTCCCGAGCCGCCGCCCCCACCGCCTCGTCCCATTAGGCTTTGCTTCCTCAGTCAAACGAGGCACTGATGGTAGTGTGACGCTCTTGGAGTCGATTGAGGTTTTTAATGTGCGGCGGTTTTGCTTCTGGATTGCAGGTCTGACTGAAGGCAAGCTGTACGTCGCAGCAGGAGGAGTAAATAATTAATTTGAAATGGCTGAATGCCATTTAGCTGCATCACTCGCAGGGTCGCGGTGTTAATGCTCCGGGCTTGTTTTCGCGCAGTCATCATTTACTGACAATCAGCAAGAGCAGAGTTAATGTTGTTAGTCACAGCTTGGCCTTTCTTTCTATATGTGGGAAAAAAACTCGTAACTCATGCTTCTTAACTGGAAACGTGATGTATGCAGGTTTTTCCTTCTCTTTTGTCTAACTTAGAGGTGGTAAAGATCTTCTATAAAGTCCAACACCAGCGCTGTTTCATCCCGGACATTTCTGAATGTTAGCTTTGCACTTCGGTGCAAAGATTTCATGCATCTTGAAGGATGTTTTAATGAGAAGCGGTGTTTTTACGACGGAGGTTTAGTGTGGAGTTTACTTTGTAGTTTGGCTGAGCAGTGGGTTGGGAAGCTTCCAGGGATTTAAAGAGACGGATCAGCTTTTGCATAGACAAAGGGAAACTTAAGCAGGGCTGAAACTATTGGTGATTAATCAGTTATTGAGATAATTGTCAACTAATTTAGTAATCAATTAATCATTTAGTGGAGTATACAAGTTTTTTGGTGAAAAAAACCAACATATTCAGAACAGTAATTAAGCCAAAATTTTAGAAAGCATACACATTTTACTTTTACGACAAAAACTGTCTTTGTAATTATGTTTCACCCAAAACTCATCTGGTGATATTTTTAGCTTCAACCAATTCAGATTTACTGAAATGAGTTGTTGAGCAGGTAAAACAAACTAAAAAAAACAAACACATTTTTTGGCCTATCATTCGTTTAAGTTTCTCAGGGAAAAAATCTTTGGACACCACTGGTGTAATAATTACAATAATGGAGAACAGGATATTTTAATTGTGAAATCTATTATTGCACTACTTTCAATAATAGATTTAATAACTACATGAGGAGACTTTTTGCTGGTTTAATACTTATAGCTATGAACGTTAAGCACCAGCTGTAACAATTTAAAGCAAGATCGTTTGAAAAAATTAAACTTTTTATTTGCAGCTTTTTTAATGTTTGTCCTCTTTTCCCCTTTTAAAATGGCTGAATGCAACAAACACTAACAGGCTTAATTTCCATCCCACGCTGAGCCTTTACCATCTGACTGACTCATCTTTTCTAAACACTCAGAGTCATTATGTTTGTGTAAACTTTTTGATGTATGGTTGTTTTGAATTGTGTTCCCACACTTTGTAAATGTGGTTTTGGACTGAGTGGGCTCCGGCTCTTTCCACAGAATGGGAAATAAAATAAATCAGACACAGAATCCAAATGATAAAGCACTTCTTTTTTGCCCTTGCTGGTGTCGGGAGAGGCTTAACAAATGATGAAACTGAATAAAGAGAAGAAAATCATTTCTCGGAGGTGTAAGTAAATGCCTGCTGAACGCCGCAGTGGTGGCATTTAATCGTCCTGTGGCAGTAAAAAGTTAAAGAATGGATCAATAAGACATTTGGACAGAAGGTGAAGGTGAAAATGAACTACTGGGTAAAAAAATAAAAGTTGAACAGCAGTTTTATTAAACCGAGTGCATCAAGAACAGGGAATGAATGGTACTAATTGCTTTGCCTCTCTGCTTATTGATCCACTGGATTTTAATGTGGATCCACAGATGGATGGCTGTGTAATGGTGTAAGGTAAAGACAAAGGCGTCTTGCTGTATAATTCAGTGAAGGATTATCTGAAACATAAAGATGTCTGGAGTTTTAAGGATTTAGCTCGTTTCCATGACAGTATTAAAACCATAAATGAGGTTAAATCTGATAGATTTATGGTCTAAGGGGTAGATGGCTGAAGTGATGACAGAATGGGATAATTTATTTTTAATTATGGTCTATAGTCCAGGGTATGTTTATGTCGCCCTTCTATGTTCAGCTCAAGTTCAGAAGGTCGACTTCATGACCAACTACAGAGCAATATTTCCCAGTGAGCAGTTAGCAGCAGTTAACGTTTGTCAAATTAAACATAGCTAAAATGGGCAACGCTAATCATAAAAACAGGTCAAAAATATAAACAAAACATGGCAAAATTACTCATGAAACATGATTAACTTTATCTAAAATATGTGTTAAAATATAATTCTTGTAAAGGCAACAGAGTTGATCCTGATAGGTGCCACAGTTACTAATGGCAACAGAAAAAGGGGAGGAGCCTGCGGTTACCGGTTACCAAGAGACAGGTCTGCCAAGAGACAGAGCTGAGTGGAACTTGAAGCGCCAATAAATGTCTGGAGACATTACTAAACTACATCGATTCACAGGATAAACACGTTCTGACAAACTTCACGTCTATAACGTTAACATAAAACACTGTTACTTATGCTTGAATGAGTTACAGAACAGGAGAGAATTAAGTGGTTTAGAAAGAGAGAGTTTCAACTGAAATTTGTCAGACCTCAAATGAAAAGGAGTAAAATCTTCAGAGAAGAAATTATTCAAGCTAAGAATGTTCAACAGTCACTGATGTCTGCTGACGAATGAAAGAATAACTGCAAGGATGGATGGATGGAGTTTGAGATCTGCTTTTCATGCAACACTAACTCAGTGAAAGCACCGTCCACATCATGAAGCATGTTGATGGCAGCATCATGATGTAGGGAAGGTTTTTCTTCAGCTTCCCACAGTTGATGGGAAGATAAAGGGAGCTAAATCCAGGAAAATCCTTAAATAAAACCAGCTCAACTACTGTGTGATGGTTAAACCTGTCATAATAAATGAATTAATTGCATGATAAAATGGTCTCAAAACAACATTATTATTTTAATGCCTTCTAGATCAATTCATGGTCCAACATCATTTGTAATTGTGAGGATCTAATCCAATAAAATAAACTATAGTTGGAGATTGGATGTAAAATGTTTCAAGGAGTATGAATATTTCAGACGCTGTATTTTTTATTCACATTCTGTTTTAAATCGAGCTTTTTGGTCTACTCAGATTCTCATAGCAATCTGTTAAATATCTAAGTGGAAATGTCTGTTTTGTGTTTGCTTTCAGGATGAATGGAGCTCCAGTTACTCGTCCAGCCGGGGAAAATCTCACGGTGCTGATGAAAAGGCGCACACCATCGACGCTCTGCCTCCAGGTGGGACCACACACCTCCTCAAACGACCTGGCCTCTATGAGCCTGCAGATCCTCTGTAGACCGAATGAAAACTGAGCAAAAGAGAAATGTGTCAAGCTATTTACATAATGGTTATTACTTTCTTAGATTTTAAAAAAAGGACAAATCTAATTTTCAGCATCACTTGAAGGTAACAGTCTTGGTTCAGCCCAATTGTAATTTTTCTAAACGTTTTTGTCCTTGCACTTTGAAATGCTGGTGCTCATCTTATGTAAAATCAATCTTGATTATCTGCAGGTTTTGATGCAATCTGATAAAGGCGAGGCTGATGAGAACATTTGTTTCCACCTACATTTCCTTCATGTTTTTATTCAAGCAAGGCTGTGTTTGAATGAATGCTGTAGCTTCAGTTGAAGCCTTGATAGAGTTTATGCAATTTTTCCCCCCCACACAGTTAAATAACAAAGAATTGTCACAAGTTGAAAGGGTGTGTTGGCAGGGTGCAGTTCAGTAGCTGACATCCATCACGACTAATATCATTTATATATCAACATAGCTTTTATGTCCAAGATGTTAAACTTAAACTGAGAATTGCTACACATTCTTGAATATTCTCAGTTCTCTCAATAGTACACCACATTTCTCAACATTTTCATGTCCAGTTTTTTTTTTATTGCTGGATGTAAGTTATAGTTATTTATTTTTTAAGCGTGAGAGTGCCTCTAGTTTGTGATGAGACTGGTGTAGACAGAATTAAAACCACCCTGTGATCTCCAGCACTTTCACAATTGTGCAATTGTTGCTGGACTGCATCATACTTGGAAAACCTAATTTCAGCATGAGGGGAATCATGAGGCTAGTATTTTTTTTTCTTCCTCTGATGCTTTTCTGACTATTTCACCACAGTTCTACCCCCATGTGAATTATGCTTGCATTCGAATGTTTCCTCATTGGCTACAAATTTTTCTTCTAACATGAGAGATTTCGGTGCACAAAACTTCTCATATCACTATTAGTTTCAGGCCTGCTGTATAATGGAGAAAACATCCCCGAAAATCATTTTTATTAGCAGTGACTGAATTTAATTGCTAACCACGTAATCTGCGTGGTTAAATAGAAGACTGTAGTTAACTTTAACTAAAATGTTCTGTGTAGCATGTTCACCGTCAGTAAGAAACTCACAGCAGTGTATTGACTAAAATAATAAAGTATTAATAATAAAGTTAGATAAAGTGATGTCAAAAGCACCTGGCTATCACTATGGTGTTGACAACTATCATTTGCTTAGTTCGTTCAGAAAGTTGCGTTTAGCATTTATATCAAAATTTGCTAAGATGCTACTTTAGATTAAAATGCTATCATTAGCATGAGGGACATCACTAACATGATGCCTTCCAGTGGCGTTCTCCTTGTTATATTCAAACACTGGATAAGCTAAAATTAGCTAAAATGCTAAGGTTAGCATGTGGGATATGACCAGGATGTTGACTAACCTTGACTTACTCAAGCTAGTGTGCACACATTTAGCTACAATTAGCCACAATTCTATAGTTAGCTCAAATGTTTTCAATTACACATGGGGAATCACAAGCATGCCAATCATCAACTTATTCCATTTAGTGTGTAAAAGCTAAAATTGGTTAAATGCAAAGGCCAGATAAAATGTTTTCAGCAGCCCATTTCCAGCATGCTGACTAACATTCAGTTACTTCATTTAGCATTTTAGATCAAATGTTAATGTCAGCTTAAATTAAACTGTAGGCTATTGCTATGATGCTTCTTGACATTGACTTCCTCCATTTAATATGCAAACTGCTGTCTAAGCTAAATTAGTGAAAATGTAAAGGTTAGAATTAAACCTTTCAATAGCATCACCAGCATGTTGACTAACATTGACTTACACCATTCAGCATGTGGAGCTTAACTTTAACATGAAAATTAGCTAAAATGCTAATGTTAGCTTAAATGCTACCAGTATAGTTTTGGATGTCACTATAATGTTGACATAAACTTAGGCCAATCAATATACAAACATTATAAGCTAAATTTTGCAAAGATGCTGTCAGTAGCATGTGAGTTATCTCTGTCATACTGACTAGCATGATATGTTAAACGTAGCTGTTATTTCAAAAATGAGCTAAAATGCTTATTTTAGATAAAAGGGTAAGAATGTCAGAAAATATTGCGTATCCAGCCTGACCTGGGAAGCTTTATATCAGATATTTCGACATATTGTTAAACTGAGAGTAACAGCTGGAGAACATGGCTGATTGATTATCTCTCATTACCACTTAGACTCAGCACCACAGTAGCCTGTTCGCATCGCTCACACGACTGAGACCTGCATCTGCCGAACACTTTCATCTCACCCAACCGTAGAAATCAGGACATTTCAACTTCATGGAGACTTCACGCTCAAATTTGTTTCACGTATAACTTTCGAACAGTAACTCACCTAAAAAAGCAGAGATAAGCGGAGAGAAATGGAGGAAGAGAAGGGTCTGGAAATGAGGTCTGAAGATTAAAAGATGAAAAGATTAGGAGGTGAAAAATGTAAAGATGGAGCATTTTCCTCATGCTATTTATAAATGTGTCGGTCTGGAAGTCCTAATGCTCTTAAAGTTCTCACGCTAAAATATTTAAAGCAGTTAATGAACTAAACCAGCACAGTTACCATTTTGTAATTTTTGAAAAGCCTGTTTCCTGAATGGCTGATCATCTTTATTCAGTGTAAGCTGAGTAGCTTTTTTGGTTCTCATAAACTTCACATAAATGTTCAATGGGATTCAGGCCTAATGCTTAGTTAAAGGTTAATGCATGCTGTTTGAAACCCAGACCAATATTTGTGTAATGTACTGCAGACATTAGGGAAACTTAATCCATTTCATCCTTCAATGGTTTGTTGACCTTTATTACAATCTCTCACTTATTTGAACTTTTGCTTCATTTCATTGAGGTGAACTTTGACCTACCCCTTCTACACCTTCATTGTTTTCTTTTTCAGCTTTCTTGTTGTGTGTTTGCATTGTGAGTTATGCAATAAGAAATATACTGCTCATATATTAATTTCTTACCAAGCTCAAATTGACCCTGTCGTCCTTGGTTATGACATCATCAAATGTTTGTATCCCTAAATGTCTGCAAGGTCATTTAGGGACCTTGCAGGCCCTAAATGCAAGGTCCACTTGTAAATGTGGAACATTTACAATTGTTTCCTATCTGTAAATGATAATTCTTACTTTAAAAAGATGAGCTGCAACAAGATGATCATCTATGAATATTATAATGTACAAAACTAGAAACCATCTGTTTTCTTCCAAGGCTCCATTGATTTGTGTTTTAGCTGATTCTGGCCCAGATGTTAGTCAGTAAGTTCTTAATGAACCAGGTTTCAAAATACGTTCCTGCACAGAAAGGAATGATGCAGCTGTGATGCAACATCTGGTCCCTCTTATGGAGCTTGGAATGATAAATGTTCTCCTTAAAGATTACATTTTATCATACAGATTAAATATGAAGACAGTAGTTTAACTTATCTTTTAATGTGTTTTAGGAACAAGTCGTTCATCGATGATTAGGACTTGTCCAATTCAGAGGTTTAAATGTAGCCGCACTCTTGTAGTGCAGCTCATAATTCCATATTTTATCATAATCTTTCACATGTTGACACAAGAACCTGACAGATGTTTTTGGGGGAAAAAAAGAAGAGTCTCAGCCACTGAAAATCTCTAAATGATGACCATTTTTCAAGATGGCCGCCATGGTCGGCAAGGCAAAATTAGTTTTGCTCTAAAACTGGTTGTGTTCCCATGTGCAGATCTAAAACCTGTGATTAAAGAAGCTAATTTTAGTTTAGCATCAAATTGACTGAATTTTAGCTGAAAAACAAATTTTGAGGTACATCAATTTAATGTTCTGACCTGACATTTTTTGGAAGCAAATTTTTAGGCCTGGTCAATGTCTGGACCTCATCCAAACTGAGAAGTTTTTGCTTTAAATGTCTGAAGTTGGCTGAAACAAAGCAGTTTTGCAAAGCAGAGTAGGTCAGAGTTACTCCAGTTCCACTGATGTGACTCATTAACAGTTTGCGCAAACACTTGATGGCAGTTGTTGCTGCCAAGGATGGAAAAATGTTTTCACACATAGGGCCATGTTGGTTTTGAAAGCTTTTCCCTTAATAAATTAAATTATCCCATGAAAACCACTTTTTCTGTTCATGTAGAACAGAAAAAGCAGTTAGACACATTAAAATGTGTCATAACTTGTAAAAGTTGTCAGGTTCTGTGTTTTTTCTGTGTTTTTATTCCGAGTTTCTGTGTCCTGAGTCTCCTCGTTGTCCTGTCTTCCCCTTGATTGTTCCCAGGTGTCTCTCGTTCCCTTGATTACCCTCTGTGTATTTAGTCCCTCCTGTGTCCTCTGTTCCTGGTCGGGTCCTTGTCGTTGTCAGATTGTTGTCAGATTGTCGTTGTTTGTCAGATTGTCAGATTGTCGTTGTTGTGTTTACCGCCTGTATGACCAGTTGCTACCGGCGTTGAGCCCTGGCTTCCGCTCAGCTGCCTGGCCGCGGACTCTGTTGACTGTGTTTTTGTGGACTGTTTTCATTAAATTACTCACCATTCACCTACCTGGGTCTCCAGCGTCTGCCTCACCACCTCCACCACCACCATTTTATGACAAAAGTATTCATTAATTCCAATGGAGTGCATGTTTTTAATCTGTCAGTATTTATTTAGCTATGTATGATCAGTGTTAGACAAAAATGAGCACTTTTGTGCGTACTTTTCATACTACAAGCCGGTACCTCCCCCCCCCCTTCAACCACCAGGAGGCGCTTTGGCAGGAAGTCAATCATTGGAAATCAAAGAAGAAAGCGCTATTTTCATTTAAAACAAGCACAAGCTAGCAGCAAGCACTTCAGAGAAATGTTTTTTTAAACTCATACCCCCTCATGAAGGAAACCACAGTTCATAAGATGCAGCTAAATTGAAGGCTAAAGATCTGGCCGTTCAGGCACATTTCCCTTCTTATAAAGGACAGTGAACTTAAATGTCCAATTGAATTAAATATGCACCATTGTTCAGTGTTTGTGGTGTCACTGCGGGACAGATGTGCAGAGCATTTCTGAACATAAATCCTTCATCTCTGTTACTATTTCTTGGAAACACAACAGCATAGCATGACTTCCTGAGTGTTTTCAGTCTGGAGCATCTTGGTGAAGAGAGACAAAAGAAAGAGAAAGTGTTCAAACATCTGTGCGGTTCCACAGATCACACTGCAGGCAGACGAGTTCAGACTAACAGAGATAATATACCGCTGGCTTAAAGTAAACGGATGTTTCTCCCCAGACTTTACAGAGGAGGGAAAATGTCAAATAAATAAACTTTCCCAGCAAGAAAGGGTCCATTAAAATAAAATTTATTTTCGAAAAGACAGAAATAAATCATCATAACTCGCAAATCCTTGTCTACAAAAACAGAACTAAGATAATGCAGATTTGATTCAGTAGGATAAAAACTTTACAAACAAAACACAAAGTTGAATTTCAATTAGATTACTCTTTTCAAGTTTTGTTTTATTTCTTTGTAAATAAAAATAAAACAGCAGGAGAATAAACATCAGTTTTACACTTGTCTATAAAATCCGCTGTATTAAGGCCAGCTTGCTTTCTGCTGAATTACTCACAAAAAATATAATCTAGAAAATATTAATAATGTTTTAAGTATGTTTTAAATTATGCATGAAAGAACTAGAAGTCAGGTTTGTAACATGAACACATCGACTTTAAGCAGATCGGATGATACAGCAGACTGAAGTCATGAAACCCCTGGAGAACAAAATGCTTTTTATTTTTAACATTATTTCTGCTCAAAGTCAACCTTACATTACATTTACAGCTGGGTAACATTTTCTATTTGCTAATTTGAAAAAAAAGTTATGTATTTTCTTATTGTTATAGACTTAGACTTAGACTCATACTTTATTGATCCCTTGGGAAGACTCCCTCAGGAAATTGAAGTTACCAGCAGCTTACAGGCAGAAAAGTGGCACTCTTCTCTCTTTACTTCTCTCACTTTATAAATTTAGACCCATTTATGCTAAACTTGCAGCTTTTATATCTTACAAGAATGTTTGATAAGACTGAATAAACAGCTGAACGTCTACACCGTTTCTGCAGACTTGCAGAATTCATTACGGATTTATCGCCATAACGGTGTCAGTATGTGCAATGTAATGTTTGGACTGCGGCAGAGCGGCACAATATGTTGCTGCTAAGTTTCAAGTTTTACACATGCAAATTCTGCATGCCAGTAATATCCTGGCCCTGCTGCTTGGACTTTCACTGCTGATGAAGATGCTAAAGAGAGGCTGGGACATTTTGATGAAGGAAAAGTATAAGAACAGTGAGGAAAATACTGTTAGACAGATAACTTGGATATCTTTATTTGCACACTGCAAAATCACAACATCTCTGACCAAGTATTTTGGTCTAGTTTCTAGTTCTAAGACCTTTGTACACTTGAAATAATGTGCCATAAGTGAAATAATGTGCCAACTTAAAACAAACTCCTATATCTTGCTTAAAAGTTGCCTGTAAGTTTTCTTTGTTTATTTCAAGTGTACTGATATTTACATTAGAAACTAGACCAAAATACTTTGTCAGATTTTGTGTTTTTGCAGTGCAGCAAAAGCATCATGTGCACTGATCATATTCCATGTGTGGAGAACTCCTCCGCTGCATGTTTCCCCTGTTGGATGGAGCCACCAGCCGAACACAGATGATTCCCAGGAGGCTAAAGATCACAGGAAGAGTTGGGAGCAGATTAATGACTGACGAGACAGAGAGAAGTGGAGAAAATATACATTTAACACAACTTTAAGTTGAGCTTCTGTCTATGTAATAAGAACGTTATTGTAACAATTCATCGTTTATCGTTTCTGGCATATTCACCTTTCTCTATACACTGTAAGATTAAGACGTGAGACATATTCACTGAAAGGCTGTGTTGTTTTTTATTATTGTTTCGGTCTCATGCATTTATTCAGGAGCAACTTTACAAACTAAGTGTCGCTGTAATGTTCCCTCTGGAGAGAAGAGACGTTCTCCTTGCAACCCATAAAAAAGACAAACATATTTCTCTGTCCTGAACTCAACAGTATATTACTGCTGCAACTAGAGATTAACTTGTAATTGATTATTCTGTCCATTAATCAGATAAAAGAAATTTGCAACATTCTGTAAATTTTTAATTTGACCATGTAAACCTATCTAATTATGTCAAAAGATGCAAATAAACAAGAAGATAAACCTTTCTTTAATGATGCTTGATTTTTTGTAGCAAACAAGCCATCTGCAGATAAAAAAAATACAAGAAAGTGAAGAGCTCAGCTCTTTCTGCTGAACTTAACGTCATTACACTGTAAGAGTAATCTGGGACTCATTTTTGGATTAATTGATTAATTAATGACTGGACAGCAAAAGGTGATTAACAGAAGATATTTTTTGCTGAATTGAACCAGGTTCAGATAAAACTGCCACTTGAAGAGTTCTGACTGCAGAAAAAGAGTTTTTATTTTGGCTTGATTACTTCCCTGACTGTTGTTTCAGAAAATGGCTATTTTTTATTTTTTTTTTTGTTTTTGTCTGTATACTCCAGTAATAATTAATTAATTACTAAATTAGTTGACAATTATTTCAATTCATCACGATTGATCGCTTTTGCTCTACATTCCATTGAGGTTTATAACCTCTGCATTTCCACCAACAGTCCAGTGCTGCAGGGAGGAACCCACATGCAGATCATTGCTATTTAAATTTCTCCACAGTGATTAATTACTCCTCCTTCTGATATATATCAGCAAGGACATCTCAGTCGTATGCTACGGCTTCTCCAGTTCAGTTGTAGATCATTCTTCTAATTAACATGCCAGACACATGAAAGACTCGATCTCTCCTCCTCTGAGAGTGGCTTGTTTCTTTGTCTGCAGCACACACGCTCGTCTACAGTGAGAGACGCTGTAATCTCACATTTCCACATGTTTCCCTCAAGTAACCAGCAGCTAAACTGTACTAATGGGTTGTATTAATATCTGTGATTTTCTGAGCGTCATTAATCCACGTTAAACTGTGAAATTAAATGTGACAACTCGGTTTGCAGCGCGGTTTGCTCCCTGTAATCTGGTAACACTGTGCATCTGAAGACATCCTAATAATAGCTGTTCTTAAAAATAAACCGTGCTTGTTGGTTTGCATATTATTTAAAGCAGCAGAAAATGTGCGAACATAAACCTATGTGTGTCCGTCCCCCCCGACTCACAGCGGTTCATGACGTGTCTTGTAGCTCAACCTCCAGTTCCGCGCTCTATTCAGCATATTCATGCATACATGCAGCATAAATTCCCCATCAGCCTCTCTGAGCGCCGCCTTGTTGAGCTCCAGCTCTCACTGCCACACCTGATGGAGTCTTGCATCAGACGGGCTGCTGCTCCCAGTGAAGTATCACCACTGTTGAGTACAAAAACACGTTTTCAGGCTTTGTGACAAGCTTTGGCTGTTTTCACTCCTAAATTAGTTTGACTTCTTCTTTTGCTGTTAAATATGAGTGTGTGGTTTTCTTTCTTGTCAATCGACATTTAGAGTTTAAAAAATCATGGTATTTTCTGAAGCTACAGATAAGTACTGAAGGCTGTTTCCCATAACTTTGAAAATCTGACATTAAGACTCTGAGCATGCTAACACTTCAGGGACATTCACATTTTAAAGGTTGAGGGACGCTGTCAACGTGCGATAAAGGACTGACTAATCTAAAAGGTTCCCCACTGGTATTTTGAAGTTAAATGGTTAAAGCTTTTAAATGTAAAGTACTTAGATTACACTCAATGTATTTTAATGGTGATATGATGTCCTTTGTGGATTAGACACCTTTCAAAAATATCCATCCATCAATAAAACATCTTCCCAAATGTCTGGCACATGGGAGGAGGAATCCTTTTGCAATTCCTAATTCATGAAAACTGATCTTAATGTGAAATTCACTTTTGCATGTTTTTATTCTTCCATTTGGGACTTAGCTGCTCCTAAAAACAGACCAAGCGCTTAAAAACCCCACCAAGCTGTTTTTAGGCCAGAAGTTGTTGCACCATCACCAGCAACCCGAGCTGAGCTCCCACACATTTGAGGACACAGTTTTACCGCTGTGTGCTCTCTACAATGGCTGCTGGAGAAGACCAGTGTTTTGTTGCTGATTTACCACCCAGAAACAACTTGCTGCATTCTTGAGGGTTGTGTAGGAGGCTCTACTAATGCTTTTCAAAGCTGTAGCTTGTGTCAATGTTGTCTTGCAGGTTCTATCTGAGCTGAGGCAGTAGTCAAGTCTTGGTTTGAATACTGAAATTGAAATGTTGTATTTGAAACATTTAAGCAAGACAGTACAACACAAAACAGAAGAAAATCTGTTTAATTATTCAGGTCTTAATATGACTGTTCTAACTTATGAGTTTTGAAACATTTTGACACATTCAGTTCAAATTGATTTAATCAAGGACATCACTTTAAGCGAATGTTGAAAACAGAGTAAATGTTGTTTTGTACACAATAATTTGCAAACAAAGACAGAAAAATTAAAATGAAAGATTCCTGTCTCACATACTGAATTTTTGTGACTATAAACAAGAAAAACATGAAAATGTAGAAAGAAAACTAATTCTGCACAACAAAGCAGTTTCAATCATTGTTTTAGTCGTTGCTTCACCTGGGAACTGCGACCATTTGAACTGTGATTTTTTTCTGTGCAGGTAAGGTGCGCTGGCAGGATTTCAACCAGAACCTTTACGTTGGCGCCACCTTGGTCCGACCGGGTCAGGATCCTTACGCCAGGAACAAGTTCAATCAGGTGGAGAGCGACAAGCTGCAAATGGACCGAGCCGTTCCCGACACCAGACACGACCAGTAAGCATCCACTGTATAAGACGCGAGCCGGTGAAGGCACCCTGCTGTTCCTGTTAATGACATCTGCTGCGTGTGTGACTGCGTTTCTTCATGCTGCTCTTTGTCGCCTGTCAGATTGACTAATTGGTACCAGACTGGATAAGATCTCCTGGGAACTTCCTCCATTGTTGTCTGAGATAAAACCAGGAAGTCTCCGCTGAGCAGACTCTCTGATGTTTTTTGCCCTTGACGTAAAGCAACACAACCGCCGCCCCCTTCCACCAGTGATGGCTGCAGATTGTTTGGTTTATATGAGATAAAAACGAACTGACATACTGCTGACTGAATTAATCAGAGTAAATGATCTCTTAATAAGCCAGAATGCCATGTCCCTCTCATCCCATTTAGCCTTAACATTTGAATGCAGATAAACTGTTAATAAGCTCTTTTTGGGCTGAATCCCATTTACTAGCCTGACCTCTACACAACCGCTTTCCCTTAACCTTTAATTTGAAATCACAAAGTGTAACAATTACATTTTTCTACTGCGAAATGGGCTCCCTTTAGGAAGCTAATAGTCACTTTACATAAAATAAGTGACATTAGCATGCCCACACAGGAACCTGAAAAGTCTTGATCTTTTGTTCATTTTTCACAGTGCGACCACAAACATCTGAGTAATCTGATACCATTTACAGATCTGGAAGAAATGAAGAGACCCATTGAAAACCTCCTGGTTATTCCATCGAATATTGATTTCTGAACTCTTCCTGAGTTTAAACATCAGTATTATTGTTTCTAAATGAATATTAGCTTGTTTTCTTTTTATTATTTGAGGTCTGAAAGCACTGCATCTTTTTAGTTTGTTTGACCATTTCTCATTTTCTGATAATGAAAACAAAATTTTTGCTTGGAATTTCAGAGACATGTTGTCAGTAGTTCATAGAATAAAAGAACAATGTTTATTTTACTCAAACATTTACCTATGAGGAGTAAAATCAGAGAAGCTGATCATTTTCAGTGGTCTCATCCTGCTTAAATCTCCTCACATTTATCTCTGAACTACGATGCTTTCTTTGACCTTTACTGATGCTCCTCAGCAAAGCTCTTCACAGAATAACTGAGTAAATACTGACATAAAGTTGCACAAAGATGGACTTAATTCACAAACGAGGTGACTTGTGAAGGTGATTAATTGAATAATTTTATTTGAGTATTGAATTAAATGCAATTGAAAAGAAATGCAATTTTCAGTAGTTTTTTTAATTTTACTAAAAGACTGCCTTAGACAACTGAGAAAACAAAACACCACCGAAATCTGGTATTTAAAATCTGATAAAGTTACCAGAAAAAAAGAGCTGTAGAGAAGTTCAGCTGAAATATAAGGCTGGATGGATAATGCTCAGAAATTTCATCCAGTCAAATACATTCTCCATCTTCTCTGCCTCCATCTTGAAGGTTCAGGGTGGGATTTGTGTGTGTTTTTGTTTTTTATATTATTAGATGAAGATGAATTGAGAGGATTGTAAGACACCCCACTCACCCAGAAAGCCACCTCAGTTTGGGAACATTTCTCAGGAAGAAAATTTGAAATCTGTTCTTTATACTGCTCATTTTTGTTCACAGGAACATTTGTGGAGTAACACCACTGTTTGTCAGATAGCCGTGTCTGCTCTGTTACACCGCTACCTTCCTCCAATATTTCCACCATACGTTAGCTTCATGTAACATCCATGTCTGTATCAGTTATATTGGTGTCTGTAACTTTCTCAGATGTAGAAAAACGGAACAAAAACCAGATTATGTTGCTGGTACTTTGTGATTGGATGCTCTCACACTGTTTTTCGTCTTCATTTTTCCATGATGCTCTAAGGTTTCAGGTTCATCTATCACAGTTTTCTGGCTTTATTTCATGCTCTTACTCTGTTGATGCTGATTATGATAACATTCTGTGTTTCTTCACTCTGAAGAGACGTGAACATCTCATGTCCTGGGTGATGAGAATACTCTGAATCAATCATTTCTATCTCTGGTTTTTTATGATTAGCTTTAAAATCTGGACCAGCTTCATTTACTCTCTTGCTAAACTTACATATTTTGGGTATTTATGAAGTTTATTGAACGCTATAAATTACAAATAAAATCACAGCAATACTAAAACAATATAAACAATAAAACGAGTGGGTAGAAGTATAAACTTATTAAAACCAAGTCCTCCTCCAGCAACGATACAAAATGATGTCATCCTATTTCTAAGTATTTATCTTCCAGATTCTTGACTAATGCAGTACATTCAATGATATGTTAATATTAGCTCTAATAGAATTAGCAACAATAATAATTATGACATTGATGCCAACAATGCTATCTAACAAAGACAGTTTATCATATTGCATGTGAAGCATTTCCTTGTACAAAGATTGAAATTAATCTTTAAACACCGCAGAATATTTGTGTCTGTTGGAGAAATGGTTGAAGCTTTTCATCAATAATCCAGTGAAATGTGTGATTTCTTTACTATTCTCGGGCTCTATGGACGATCTTCCCTTTGAAACAGTGACGTGTTACAGTGACGCTGCATTTATCATCCTAATGGAGCAAGTCACTAAATCCATTCAGTAGTTTTATGGCAGCAGCCTCTGTTGAGATGTGCTCTGTGATTTTTGGGTTGTTTCTTTGAACACAGACATGCTTGCTCATATATTGACCTGACTCAGACCGTCTGGGCCATTAGCCCGCTCACGGCGCTGGGACGAGTCCATCGACCCAATACTGATGTGTCATTTGCACAATGTGCATCAGTTCTGATTGCTTCCTTATCGTCGGTTTAATCCAGGGTCACAGCACTTTCAAGACCAGATCAAAAGTGCTTTTAGGCTTGACAAAGGTTGTGGTCAAGTCAGATTATGTATTTATGCCATTCCAGTATAAACGGAGCCGGAACGGCTTCCTGCAAGATTAATGCAGGCGGTTTAAATGCTAAAGTTCTTCCAGATGTATTTTTGGGACAAAAGGTTGGAGTGTTAATGCTCTCAAACCTCTGATTGTTTCTGTATCACCTGTCAATAGTTTTAATCAGGACTGAAATGATTAATCAGATTAATCATGATGAATTATGTAAATAATCATGTATTAATTGGTAACTGGAGATGACGGACTCAAAAAACATTTGTTGAAAAAACAACCTATTCAAATCAGCAATTTAGCTAAAAATGATACATTATATGTTATCAGTATTTTTTAGATGCATCCTCAGCTACAAATGATTAAGTGTTTACTAAAAAGGAATGCTCCTTTATTCCATTTTAGACTAAGAAATGTTCATTTTACTTAAAAAATTAATTTAATCATTTGTTTGTTTGCATTTTTCAATGTATTTTTAATGTTGTATAAAAAGACTTAAATAGTTAACTGATTTTATTTCTGTCTAATTAATCGATTAATCATCAGAATAATCCATGGATTAATTGATTGCCAAAATAACTGAGCAGTAGTGGAAGGATGGTCACATAGAATTACATAAATATGCTGATGACAAAACTTAAAAGAGTTCAGAATGTGAATACTTTTGCAAGACACTGAATCATTTGTTCTTGCAATTTGTTTCAGCAGGAGAATAAAGTTTCACAGTTGTTAAAAAATAAATTTAGGAGCATTTTTCACATTTCATACTGGCTGAACATCTGGAGTTAATCATAAGGTCTGGCTGCTGGAAACCATCCTCTATCTGACCTGGGTCCAGCACAGTATTCAGTCTTGTCACAGGGTTTACTGGACTCGCTGCTTCCAGTCTGGATGGTGTCACTGGTGTTACTGGGTTTTAAATTTAGGCAGGATTTCTTCATCAGAGCATCAGTCTTCACGTTTATGTTGTGTGTTTTCATGCTTCGCCTCCATCCTTTTGTGAGCAGAATCAGATCCATCTGGATTTAAAGGGGAGAATTTTTTGTGCCTTCATTTTGGATCTCAGCTCCTTTAAACAGTCTAAGTGCTTAAAAAACACCCTGTTATTTTTTGGCATGTCACACCTGGAAGCCATTTGAAACATCTGTTTCATGTTTAAATTGTTAAGTCACATTTCAGGGGCACTGCGCAGTTACCTAGCAACAGGAGTTTTATTGTTGAGTTACCATTCAGAAAACGTTTCTTGTTGGTTTGACTTTTAGTGTTAAAAAACCCCCAAAAACATTTATATACAAACTAGATAAATTTAAAACAAACGCAAAACAACAGTAAGGTATCTAAACCTTACGTTCAACTGTTATTTTCTACACCCAGCCGTTTTACATTAGTAACGTCATCTGATAAATTATTATTGGTTGCGAAGGAGGCTCTACTAATGCTTTTCAAAAATGTACAGTTGTGTAATTGTGCATTTGTTTTTAGGCATTTTCAGTGCAACTAGAAAGGTAGTTAGGGGCGTGGTCAGTAGCAGTTATTTGGGTGATTAATGTAACAAAAGGCCTGAAAGCAGTTCATTCTAAAAGGAGCTCAAAACAGGCAGAACGGAGCAAACTAACATCTCACTATCTAAGAATGAGTTTGATGAACATGCTTCATATAGACCATAGATCTAAGCTAGCCTCTTCAAGAAATCATAGTCACCTTTAAGGATCTGTTCAGCAGCCTGACTTGAACATTCAGCAGTATGTTTGTGTGTATAAGCTTATATTCATGTTAGGGCATTTAAAAAAAAGGTGTGTTTTCATCTTTGTCTTGTTTGGTTTTGCTTTCAGCTGCAGAAGTAAACAGTGGAGGTCAGACCTGCCAGCCTCCAGTGTTGTCATCACCTTCCATAATGAGGCTCGCTCTGCTCTGCTGCGGACTGTCATCAGGTAGAGCTGCGCTCTCCATGCTATTATTCTCTGATTTATTGACTCAGATTTATTCATCTGTTTCATGTTTCTCTCCGTTTAGCGTCTTAAAGAAAAGTCCTCCTCACTTGGTCAAAGAAATCATTTTGGTTGATGACTACAGTGACAACCGTGAGTCATCTGCCCCGTCACCAACCATCCTGTTTAAATCAGAACGTAGAAGTGAGTAAAAAGTCTTAATTTATTTGTGTTTTCCAGCGGAGGATGGAGCCCTGCTGGGGAAGATCGAGAAGGTTCGCATCCTCAGGAACGACCGCAGAGAAGGTACAAAGTAATGAATAGAAAATGTCAGCTGCTCGTTCTGTGGTCGACAAGATGAAACCGTTTTGTTCTGATAAAGCGTCTTCATTCGCTCAGGACTGATGCGTTCGAGGGTCCGCGGTGCAGATGCCGCCACAGCGCCAGTCCTCACCTTCCTGGACTCTCACTGTGAATGTAACGATCACTGGCTGGAGCCGCTGCTGGAGAGAGTGGCTGAGGTAATCTCAAACACATTCTTCTCTAAAATCAAAGTTAAATTCCCACCTGCATTATTTTATTGAAAGTGCTTCAAGTCCAGTTAGGTTTTCAAGATTTGGAAAGTTCTTGATTTCTGTATAAAGTTTTTGAAAGTGCTTGATTTTCAAACTGCACAGCTTTGAGATAAAGTGCAATCGAATACTTGATTGAAAGCTCACATTTAGAATATCTTTTATTTACCAGATATTTAAATATAATAAAGAAGAACACTGGCACATTTTTCACACTGTATGAAGTTAAATCAGATCAAACTTTTTTTGTTTTTATTTATTATTTTGCTAAATAACAAAAACATTATCAAGAACATTATTAGTGTTTTTTGTACCTTTCAGGTGTGTAAGACAGACATTTAAAAACTTTAAATTTATTATATTTTAGTTTATCTAAAATATTATTAGCTGTAATAAATTATATTGTATAACAGTGAATTCAAACTGTCTTCTTTAGTTTATTTGTATTATTTTTATCTCCAGAGTGTGCTGCCGGAGAAGATTGAAAACTTACCTTGAAAATGCTTGAATGGTTCTTGAATTTTACTGTGAGGAAAGTTTATAAACCCGCATGTGGACTTAAAACATGTGAGCCAACACTGGTTGTTTGAAGAAACAGAAATATTTAATTTTCATCAAAATTTTAATGTTGTGTTATATTGCTTCTAGCCTCTTTCTCTTTTATGCACTAATGGCACTAACTGTTTGTCTTTGGGCTCTTTGAAGAGTGTTAATACCTTACATTAGTGCTGCACAGTATATCAATGTCAGTGTGATTAATATTAATATTTTAAAAGACTGTTAGGGATGCCATAATTGTTAGCTAAGAGCCATGATGCACATTCTGCATGCGAAATGATAGTCGGGCTGTTGGTTGGTGTCTCACTGCAGTAGATTCCAGAGACAAAATGTCAGGGTGCATTCACACAGAGCTTTAAGTAAACTAGTTTGATTCTCTAGAAAGTCCGGTTCATTTGTGGAGGTGTGAATGTGCAATTGGACTCTGATGTGGACCAAAAACACAAACTCTGATCCGCCTAAAAACCTTGGTCTTGGTTCGGTTGAAGTGACCTGAGTTTGCATGTATATGTGAACACCAAGCAGAACGGAGTCCGCTCCAAAAGCAGGAAGTTGTCTATTGAAGGGCATTCTGGGTAAATTTCCAAGATTTTACAAGAACTTCCGGGCTATTAGCAGCAGCATGTCTGATGCAATCTGAGCAAAATATCAGCGCCACAGCCAATCAACCTTATTGGCTGAGGTGAAATCAGACTGTGCCAGATATTGGTTGTTTAGGCCATCACTAAAAACAATCACTAAAGGTGTATTGCACAGTTTTTAAAGATTTTTTAGCGCTTTTCACATACATTTATGAACTTATTTTTAATTGTATTACTTTTTAAATCTTATTGTAGAGTATTACATGTGATGTATTTATTTATACTTTTTAATCTTATTGTAGAAAAAAATATTTAATATTTATTCTTGCTTGTGTTTTTTACACTGGGTTACAAAAGCGTATTAAAAATACTCATACACTACATTTTGTAAAAAAAAAAACACCGTCTAATTACACCTAATATTTAACATAATTTTTCAAATCAAATCCTTTTCTCATATTGTGTAGTCTTATTTCTTACAATATTTTCAGATCTGTTGTTGACTAAAATTATAATTGGCTGTGATTCTGACAGTCTCATAAAAAAGCAGCACTAAAGTGAAACAATCTCTAAACGCTAATCTTTTCCCATCCATAGCCGCTTGACAGCTTGAAGGTTCGTGTGATCCAGTTTCTCTGCTGAGAACAGTTTGAAATGACATTTATTTATATGTGAATGCAGCGCTGTTTTGTTCTCAGTTCATAATAACCAATGAAGGTTTATGTTTTGTTTTCAATCAATTTCTTTCCATCAACAGAGCGTGTATGCTGTTATTGATGTGTGAAATGTGTTTATGAATGGATTTTGAAGTTGTTTCATGTAGGAGAAAAATGTAGAGATACTGTTTTGTTTCCTTTGTTTTATTAAGAAAAAGCTTTTACACCCAAATGATTACAATGTTTGTCTCCTTTTTCCTACAAATAAAGATCAGGGTGTCTTTAACAAAATAAGTACAGAAATATTTCAGTCACTGTTCAAAAACAAAACTTATTTTACATTCATAAACTATTCCTCTGAGACAAATAGACTTTAACACCATCAAATGCAACGAACTGTCAGGTGACGTTTAAAAACTTTCATAAATGGTTTTAAAAATGTTCTTCCTCATAGACTATATGGTAATATTAAGTTGCTTTAACTTTTTTAAATGTTTACTAACCAATCACACTCGATCTTTCCAGTGAGAAGAATCAGAAGTTGTTTATCTTTTAGGATTAAAATTTAATTACAATAAATAGCAGATAATTAAAGTTAAACTAAAGCTTTTGAAATAACTTAAAATGAATCAAGACCGCTAAATCAAACTTGCATCTGTTGCTTCGTAGGTAAAAGTGAAAGAGAGACACAGTTAAATAAACACGTTTTCAAACAAAAACAGGCGTTAATTGTCTTCAACAAACTGCTAATTAAACTGATTAATTAGCAGTTTAGCCTCTAAAGAGCCTAAATAAATAAACGTTACTGCTTAATGTTTGTTTGTAGTTTGCTAAAACTGTTTTATTGTTTGCTTATTTGGTCTCATAAATTATGAAAGCAGACAGAAAGAGCATTTCTTGTGGTTGTGAAACCACAATAAAATAAAGGATCTCATTTCTACCTGGAGGTTTGTTTCTGTGTTTTTGGGCCATGTGTTCAGTGTTTTGTCTGAATCCGTTTTAAACCAGCTGAGCCTCACTGCACTGAAGCTCTGCTGGGAATAACAAAGCTGCACAGCTTTCCAGCTCTGAAACTCAAAAAGAAAGTCAATTCAAAACACAAGAATCAATATTTTGAGTGGAAATATTTGCTTGAACTTCCTTCATCATGAGGTCCTTTGATTTCTGATAAATATTTACTGATTCGCCAGATTTCCTGTCATTGTTTAGCTGCAGTGGAAGAAAAATAAATATTTCTCCGTGTTGCAGGATAAAACGAGGGTAGTTTCTCCAATCATTGACGTCATCAACATGGACAACTTTCAGTATGTGGGAGCCTCGGCCGATCTGAAAGGAGGTCATTTCAGTTTTCACGTCTCTCACTATGGCTTTTGTTATAACTTGTTAAGTGACTGATGATAACTGTCGTCTTGTTTCTGGTTCTGTTGGTAGGCTTTGACTGGAATTTGGTTTTTAAATGGGACTATATGACTCTGGAGCAGAGACGAGCCAGACAAGGCAACCCCATCGCCCCCATCAAGTGAGTTACACTCACATCCTGAAACAAAATGGCTCAGTTTTTCACCCAAGTGTTTGTTGTGAACCCCTGACCTCTCTGTTCGCCGCACACGTAGGACGCCGATGATTGCTGGCGGTCTGTTCGTCATGGATAAGGAGTATTTTGAGCGACTAGGAAAGTATGACATGATGATGGACGTCTGGGGAGGCGAAAATCTGGGTGAGTTCCCAGAGTTCAGGTTGACACTCCCACTCTGGGTCAAAAAATCAACAAATGACTTCACTTTGACATGAAAGAAACTAATACCTAATCTGATTTCTGACATAGTTACTGTAGATAAGTGTGACCGGTGAACTTCTGCGTCTGGATTGAGAGGCCGTTTCAGTTTATTCAACCTGATATATTAGCATTAACACATAGCATGTCCATCGCCTTCTATACAAAATAATAGTGTTAGCATGAATTGCACATTGTGGTCATAACAAAACCAAGCACTTTGTTATGACCACAAAATGCTTGTTTATTTGGTCATGACCAAGCATTATGACCACAAATGTTGTGATGGTGTAATATCGACTTAAATGACACCCGTCATTAATACATGGAAAAAAAAACATTTGAACAACATACATAAAAGGAAAACAGTGGATTATAAAACTTGCCTCTTTCTCGTGGAATAAATAGCACAAGAAGAAATTATGAACTTAGTATTTATGATGGTCCAGGACAAACGAAGAAGAAAATGAGATGGAGCTGGAGGACCAAACCCCGAATGACAGACATGAGGAAACACAGGAACAGTCGGGTACAAACAGACAAATGCATTAAAGAATCACATCTTGTGTAATTATACAACTATTAACATATACCCAATTACATAAGCCTAGGGTGTGATTGTCGATCAATAATTTAATCAATAAATTAGTTCCAATTGATTAGCTAATAATGTCCTTCAACAGTTTCTTACTCTTGTAGTTTGGCCGCCGTCCAACAGAGGGCGATGCTTGTCATCCTTAAGCAGAGCCGTTCATACAGGAATCAAGATGGCGGACCGTTTCTCAAACCAGAACCCTCTATGTGCGGTTCTGTTTTGAAATATAAACGCTTGACAATCTCTTAAAGTTTGACCTTAATATTGTTAATTCAGCCGAGCTGCATGGCGGAGCGGTGTCAAAAATTACTGATGTGCTAAGATACAAAGACCAAGATAATCTGACAGAAAAGTGGAGAAAAATTGTAAAATAATGGAAAAAGACATGATGGCAGTAAGCAAGGCAGAAATTTTTCTACTCTCTCAGTTTCATGTATTCCGATTCATTTCAGTTCAATTCAGGGATGTTCTCTGTAGTGCACCATAAATTAATGCAAGAATACTTCATTAACCCCAAGGAGAGAGCTATACGTTATGTTCAGTGGAAGTTTATTTCATAATCTGCTGCCCTGCTGTAATCTTCTTTTTTTGGCTCCCACTGATTACTTCCCACTCATTGAACTCCCACTCCTCTGTGCGAGATTTACTGATGAAGCTCTCTGCTTGTGCTTCATGCTGCGTCAGGAAATTGTCTGCATTTCCATGCCAAAAGCAGGACGAGCAGAAAGCCATTCAGTGATTACATTCTCAGTTCAGAAAAGACAGCGGTGCTTCAATAATAACACAACTGAAACACTGGGTGAAAATAACTGGTCTACACAGTGGAGATCATTTGCAAACTGTGGAGTGATATAATTGCAGCTTTGTCTCCCTGTTGCCTTTGTTTTGGATTCAGTTGGGAAGCGGGATGAGCTGACAGAGCGATTCACGGCGCTCCCTGGGAGGTGCAGACAGAGACTCAGAGCTGGATTGGCAGTCCAGACTCATTCAAACCCAGAGGATGTCTCAAAGCTACCTGCAAATTATAAACACATTTCAAACATTTAGAAGGTGCAGGAGACTAAATCAGTTGGTCTTTCACACCGTTTTTGTTATAAATTATGGAGCCCCTCCAGGGAAATGGGGAAACAGTTTCCTTTTGTGTTGCCTCACAATAAATCATCAAAAACAACCTGGTCTATTTTGTATACAGTCACAAATGTCACACATTTAAAAAGCCTCAATAGAAATGTGTTTTTATATTCTTAACTCTTTGGTGCAAAAAGCGGATCGAAATCAATTTATTCACTTTTTGTTTGTCGGTTTGTTTAAGGTTGAGATGAAGCTGCACATAAAAACAGCTCTTTATTAACCGTTCAAACTAACAACACAAAAAAGACACAATCAAACCGTCAGATGACTCATTACCCCGTGGAAATAACTCAGAAATACTCCAAATAGTTTGGATGTATTTTTTCTTTCTTTTCTTCTTGCAGAAAGTTTCTGTTTGTATCTCAGAAGGGACGGAAAGTTGACGTTTGGCTTTTGTATTTTGCACATAGGTTTGTAGTGCATTTCTACTCTAAATGAGAAAATATAAAACTTCAGACTTCTCACAAACGAGACAAAAACATACATGGAAAAACCTTTTGAAAACCTTATTGCAGCAGAACGACTTTCGGTATTCAATCATGCCGCTTGAACTGACTAGTAAATTACTGCGAGGTAACGCAAAATAAAGACAATCCTCCAATGTTCCCTTGGCGGCTCTGTTATAAATAACAGACTGTGATGGGCGTTTGTTTGTTTTTTTTTTTTTTAGAGATCTCGTTTCGTGTGTGGCAGTGTGGTGGCAGCCTGGAGATCATCCCCTGCAGCCGGGTTGGCCACGTCTTCAGGAAACAACACCCCTACACCTTTCCTGGAGGCAGCGGGACTGTGTTTGCGAGGTAATGCACCAAAAAAAACAACAACGTCTGTCCTGTTGGAAACTCAATGTTTTGTATCCTTTGTCGTCTGCTGCATCCTGCTTGCCTGGGAGCATCAACTCTCTAACCTGGGCGTTCCTCCTTCCCAGTTCTTGGCTGCAATCAGCAGTAACAAAAATCCACAGAACTGTTTCCAAACTACTCCAGTCCATCTATTAAAGGGTTTTATGCAGAACACACAATAACCACTGTCTTTTCTCAGCTCTCCCTCAGTGTTTGAATGTGCAAATTAGTTGGTAAAGAAAATTTTTTTTATCTTGGCTTTTCTCAGAAAACATAAAATAAATAGATTGGTTGAGAACTCCACCAATCTCTTACCCAGACTTTAAAATATCTCAAATAAGGCTAAAAATGATTAAACCTTTTATTACGATTCCCAAGGTTTTATTATTGTTCTTATTAGTAACCTCTAGGTACTACATAGCTGCCAGCTGGTTGTTAGTGAGCGATGCCAGAGAAAAGCTTTTTCTGTCTAATCATCACAAACGTATAGTTTTCAAAATGCTTCTGGGACTTTAACTGGACCAGTGTGCTTTGGTGAGGTTAGAATAAGAGCTGTTTCACTTTAAAAAGCCCTGAGAACATCGTTGAATTAGGGGTGAAACAGTTATTGAAAAAAATCATCTAATTTAGAAATCAATTAATCATTAACTGACGTATACAAACTCACAAAGCCCACTAACTGGAAAAATCCTAACATATTGAGAGCAGCAATTAAGCTAAAATTGTACAAAATATATTTTACACATTTTGCATCTAAGATAAAAGAAAAACTATGTCTGTAAATATTAATATATTAATAAAAACTCCTTAAGTGATTTAGGTTTGACTTTGCCTGGTTCTAATTCACTCTGCCATTGCATTTCAGGCAATGAAATGTTTATTTTCCCATTTAGAAAGAACAAACATTTCTTGCGTGGGGTCTAGAGTCTAAACTAAGCAGAATGTGCCAATTTCTTTTTCCAATTAATTATCAGAATAGTTTTATGATCAAAGTAATCGTTAGTTGGAGTGTTAGAGCGCATTTGCATCATGAGTTCTTTTCTTTTTCCACAGTCATTTCAGAGTCTTATTTTTTGTTTTACAATCATCTCATGACAGATTTTTTGCCCTTCTGTGATTAAATGAATTAAAATTAAATGTTGAATTCTCCTCACTTTGAGATTAAGCATCATGTTCATGATTAAGGATATTTAAGGACATCAAAAAGCAGATATAATAGAATGTTGACATTACTGCGACTCCCTCTTGTCTTTACCTGAATGTTTTCAGAGTTGATCATCATTATCTTTACTATCTTAGTTTGAAACGAGTGAAGAATCTTCAAATAGGAAAAAATAGATGAAACTCAGCTACACTAAAGTAAATTTACAGAGGTCTGAGTTTTGCTTTTGGCCGGGTTGACACATCTAAACTGGAGATTTATTGTGTCTAAGCTTTACAACTCATTTTACACGTCTAAAATTGCTCGATTTTTATTTTTTCTTTAATGTCTTCATATGTTTTTTTTATCCAGTTATTATACAACAATAAGAAATTTATATTTGACTCCAACTGTACTGCACTATTTGAAAATTCACTGTAAAAAAAGAAACCACCAAATTAAATCCTTTTTGTTGGCAGTGCCAAAGCTCCCCAAAATGTCTTTTTGATGATGGTTCTTGGTCACTGACGTTTTTCCTGCCTTTGGGCATAAACTTAAATTCTCAATTACTTTTTATCAGCTTCTAACCAAGAGTCTGACATTTCTGTGGACTCTTAATACGTCCGTGTTTATCTGAGGGGAGGTGCAGTAATGAGTGAGGGGAGAAAAAGTTTAAATCTGCAAGTTTTTAAATATCAGACAACACACAGCAGTTGGCTACTCGTGATGCGATGGATGAGAGTTGCTGTGGATGGTTCTTGAGCAGGATGAAAATAAACTCTGTAGATATGGATGAGCTTCAGCTGCAGAGTTCAAGCATCTCCTGTCAGTTTCACTCCCCGTTTCGTCTCAGCTGAAGTGTTTGAGTCCAAAGGGAGAGCAGCAGTGCAGTGAAAAGCAGTACCATCTGCATGTAGGTGGCTGCGGTTCCCCGTCTCGCCCTTTAAATAGTCCCAGACAGTGTCCCAAAGCTTCAGGACAGACATTGTTCAGTGAGCCTGGGTGAGTTTGTAATTGTCCCAGAGGGAGCAGCATTTCCAGCACAGCCAAGCAACAATGGGCGTTTTGAGGGCGGGCCAGCTCACACTGACTGTGAAGTAAAGCACCTCAATAAAGTTCAGAGGAACATTATCTGTTGGTGTCCTCCAGACGGGCATTTCTAAGAAAACGTCTTGATGGCAGACTGAAACCACTTGCACTCTTGGACCTTGGAGTAGCTCGTTTTTGTAGTCGGCTACCTGAATCCAGTTAGAAATATTTGGAGGGACATTAAAAACAACAAAAACAAAATGATTTTTCATGGCAGGTAGAATTGCCTTAAAGGGGACATATTATGTAAAATTCACATTTTTCACATTTATATATTTTCATTCAGGCCTCAAATGTTTCTAAAAACAGCCAAAGTGCTTAAAAGTCTCACCCAGACATTTTTTAAATAAGTTGATTTTGTTTTGGTATCTAAAACATTTTCAAAAACCTCTAGAATGAAATATGCAAATGGGGTTACCTAGCAACCCCAGCTAAGCCCAGCCTGTCACCTAGCAACCCAAACTGAGCTCCAACACATTTGGTCAGCTGGTTTTACCACTGCATGCACTGTACAATGGCTGGAAAATATAAGAGTTTTGTTGTCAACTTACCATCCAGACACAGTGAGTCGACAACTTGCTGCTTTTTTGTTGGTTGTGCAGGAGGCTCCACTTCTGCTTCTTAAAGATGTAACGTACAATCTGTTTGTCGCCATTTTCAGGTTTTTCTGTTTTTAACTTTTTAAAATGGCTGAGTTGTGCCGTTTTTCCTCAGGAACACAAGACGAGCAGCAGAGGTGTGGATGGACGAGTATAAGAACTTCTACTACGCTGCTGTTCCCTCGGCGAGAAACGTTCCCTACGGGAAGTGAGTCCAGTCAGATTTTAAATAAACGGAGTAAACAAGGTCCCTAGATCACATCAGTCCACAACAATTAGGAGCAAGTAAATGGAAAATAACTTTTTCTAACAAGTATTTCAACTCCTACACATTCAATTTGTAGGAAACATTTGGAAAGCTTTGAAATTAATTTATTTTATTATAGCAGCATGATCTGAACAAACCTTGTTAATAAAGGCGAGATGTGCTGATCTTCATTAGCCATGAAAAGACAGCAGATAAAAAGCTCTTTTTATTTTTCCAATTGTTTAAAGTTTAAAACCACTGGAAAAAGGTAAACAAAGCTTGGAATGAGATTTTCCAGCAAAAGGTGAAGGAGGTGTGATGCTGCGGGTCATTTTTCCTAAGGCCCTGGATGCAGATTGAACTCATTAAAATAGCAGGAGATTGTAAACAAATGTCTGCTGTACCGATCATCCTGTAGTGTGTGGTGTGTTACGACTGATCGGGTCCAGTCGGTGGAACGTCGGGACCACTTACAATGCTACGGTGAATGAAATGTGCTTAATTAGATCTCATAAAACCATAAGTAAAAATTCATCCTTATTCGGAGCAGCATGCGTTGTTTTTTTTTTTTTTTTAATGAAAGATAATTATAAAATTATTGCACAGAGTACATCTGGTTGAGAAGCAAATGCCAATCTTTGGTTGAAATGGCAAATTTGATTTTATTCTGCAGTCATAATACAATTTTAAACAATACAATAAGTTTTAATTAAAGGAGCTGGAATAGGTTACGTTAAGCTTTCGCGGTCAGTTGGGGGGGAAAAAGGATAACTGCCATCTGATTTTCTAAAAACGAATATGCAGGAAATGCTTTCTTCTACTTTAAGCTGCTCTGATGTTTCAGTCATTCCGTCATATGCATATATTCTACAACAACATAAACACAGCGAAAAATTATACATAAACGGTTAATTAAACGACAAAACCGAAAACATTAAAAACTGTATTTTTTATGAAAAAAAGAGAAAAAAACTCACCTCCATGTTGCGATGCAACAAATACAATCCTTGCTTACGATATCTCCAGTTCTTAATCCAAAGCTTTGATTTTTGGTTACGTCTTTTTTGGGTTAAAATAAGTCCGCAAACTAAAGTTACCACTTCAACGTAGTTGTCCATGTTTGTTTGTTTACTCTAAATTCAGCTGTGGTAGCGCAGAATTTTAATTTGAAGGGATTTTGTATCTGGAATTAAAATGTGTTCGAGTGAAACCTCACACTCTACGATCGAACCCGTTACACCTACAATTTTTAAATGGGCTAGTGTGTGTTCTCTCACGTTTTCAGAATCAGCCGACTTTTAAAATCGTGTAGTGTGAACTGGGCTTTAAAGAGCAGGAACAACTTTTGATTTTTAGCAGCAGACATGGCCAAACTTTGTTCATAAATGGAGAAATAGGGAAAAAACTATTAAAAAAAGCTGTTAGAGATGTTAGTTTGATCATAAAAAAGCAATGTTTCTGTGCTTCGAGGCTGGTGTTTTATGGGTCAGAAGCTGAAAACCGGAGAGCCTCTCATCTGAAAGGATAGAAGCAAGATTATGATAATAAATACCAAAGTAGATAAAAGAAATGGAAGAAAAACTTCTAATCTGCGTGGAGAGTTATAAAAAAAAGTGTTTTGTGTTGCTCATAATGAGGCAGAGCTGTCTGGGTTACCAATACGACCATTCATCATTAAAAATGCATCAAAACCTGCAGGAGGACTGAAGGCGCGGCCTGCTGACTGTCTGATCTGAGTGTGTCCCGGTGCAGGGGGTCTACAACCTGTGGTTCCAAAGCCACAGGTGGCTCGTTTTGCTCCTCATTCTGGGCCTTCCTGCCTCTGGCCAAAATCATATGAAATGACCAATATTTGTATGCAGGGAGATACTTTTATCACACCTTTTATGTGTTTTCATAGCAAGAACTTTCCACAGAAAGATGACACTTTTTAGTACAGACAGGTTTATTTATTTAGTTATTTTATTTAAATGTTTGTAATTGTTCCATAAATATGAAAAACACTAGCTTGTTTTTCCCTTGCAAAGGTTTTATGGTTTTCATTGCTTAGAAGCCCAAGAAACAAAAGATGAATGTTTTCAGTTTCACCCAAAATAAGAGATTTTCATGCATTAGTTTTTTAATATTTGATCAATCATGTATCCTCTAATCCTTGGATGTTCGAACTTTTTGTCAAAAGGACTCATGGGCCAAAACAATAGGGGGCAATAATTTATTTGCAACAACTATTAGTAAAATAGTTACATGAAATCACTAAAAAAAAGCCGGAAATGGCCCCCGACCCACACTTTGGACTCCCGTGCTCTTAAGGTTGATGAAATTTGAAAGAGGTTTGACACATCTGTCTTGTCTTTGTGCCTCTGACCCCGCTGGCTATCAGCGAGGCTAAGCGGTTATTTTCCCCTAATGCAGCCAGTCAGATGAGCCTCCACTTCCTGCCCTCACCGACTATCACTGTGATCAAATCAAACCCACAAACGCACTGAAGACCGCAAGTTACCATCGTCTGATTACATGCGATGTCTGTGTGTCTCAGTATCCAGAGTCGCTTGGAGATGAAGAAGAGGTTGGGCTGTATGCCTTTCAAATGGTACCTGGAGAACGTCTACCCCGAACTGAGGTAAGAGCTTAATCAATCAGCCAATCAATGTATTTATGGAATACGTTTAGTTCAGTGTAGGAATGAGAATCCTACGAAATGTGTACAATACATTATTACACAAATACACACTAATTGCTTAACGATTCCAAGTAATGGAACCGCTGAGAATCATAAAGCTAACGTCTTAGCTAATCTGCTTATCGATTCCCGTAGCGTGACGTATTTGCGTGATGACGTATAGCACACGCTTTGTATTTCGCTTTCGAGAATATCCAAGATGGCGTCCCGACAGAAGCGCTCCAAAATATTTGTTTATATTTCACCAAAAAGGCGATACGGGGGCCAGTTGCAGTATGTTCAGAACTTTAATCACAATAAAAGAAGGAAACGTCCCCAAACAATCGGCCGCAACAGCATTTACAACATTTACGAATGTAAAGCGTTAATATGTTGCTTAGCAAGAGCTAAGCAACCGAGGGCGGAGCTATGAGCGCGGCGTCTCCCAGGTAACGAAACTGGTTATTGTATTAATATTATCGCCATACAGCATAAATAATCTCCATCTCATATCAACATATACAGTCATATTCAGTAAATTAGAATATATCTAACGAAGAAGTTCGTTTATTATACTAAAAAACCAAATTGTTGTGCAGAAAGAAGCATTTCCTGCTAAAATGTTAATGTTACAGAAGGATTTTTATTGTTTATACAAGTTTTAGTTTTGTTTGAATAAAATAAAACATGGTGCATATTTTAATTAAAGAGTTAGTTAGTCAAGTGTAACACAAAGTTCTTTAAAATGTAAGAATGACATTTGACCCCAACACAGACGCACAATGAGATGATGAAATCAGAATCAACAGCAAGTAAGAGCGGGAGGAGTCCGTCACCTGGTTCTGGTGTTTTCAGGGTTCCAGATCATCAGGACATCGCCTTCGGAGCGCTGCAGCAGGGAGGAAACTGCCTGGACACCCTGGGGCACTTTGCAGACGGAGTGGTAGGCGTCTACGAGTGCCACAACGCCGGAGGCAATCAGGTAGAGATTCAATAACCAAACACACAGGAAACCTGGGAGGACATGAACGGAAGCAATCTGAATGGATTCTGTTAGTAAACCTGGTGATTAAAACGGATAATGTGTAGATATCTCCACAAATGTGCCAAGTAAAGAAAATCGGATGTTGATATCAGCTCACATTTTTCTATCAGTCATAAAGAATATTTCCATGGACATGTTTTTCCATAATATAAATCAAATCCCTCCCATTGTGATTGTCATGAACTCAAACCACAAATTTTATATATACATTTATTTATTGTTTTTAGGAATGGGCCCTAACCAAAGACAAATCGGTGAAACACATGGACCTTTGTCTGACGGTGGTGGACCGGACCGCCGGCTCCCTAATCAAACTACAAGGATGTCGAGAGAACGACAGCAGACAGGTACTGACGAATCACGCTGCATTAAAAGACATGACATCAGACAAAACTTTTCTAATTTATGTCAGTCAGGATCCCTAAAATTATTTCTGTGTAATAAATGCAGAACAAAGATGGAGGACTTGTTTGACCACTTTCATCCAATTACAGGTTCACCTTCATTTCCTTAGCATTTGGCTTAATTCCCCTACAGACCTCGCTTTTATACATCCATCTGGGTCTCAACTGCTTCTACAAAAACAACCCAAACGCTTAAATTAACAGACGGTTTTTTGGCAATAAGTTCATGTTTTTTGGGGTCTGAAAAATGAGCTATCGCAATAACGTCACGACTGTTAAGTCGTATTCAACAGGCATTGCACTGTTACCTAGCAACACCAACCGAACCCATCCTGTCACCTAACAACCCAATCACGCTTGGTCAGCTGGTTTTTCCGCTGGATGCTATGTATAATGGCTGCTGACGAGGCAAATTTTGTTGTCTGCTTTTCATCCAGAAATGATTTGCTGCATTTTTGTTGGCTGTGCTGGAGGCTCCACGTCTGCTTTTCAAAGATGTATGGCTGTATAGTTATGGATCTGTTTGCAGCCATTTTCCTGTGCGACTGTAAACGTTGAGATGGGGGGCGTGGCCAACATTAGATTATTTAGATTTAAAGTGGTAGAGGCCCTTAAACATCTCATTCTCAAAGCAGCTCAAAACAGGCAGAACTGACCAGATGGAAATCCAGTTACCTTCGATCTTGAACTGAAAAAAACAATGTAATGAACATGTTCTCTTCAAGGAATAGGTCACCTTGAATGTTGAGTCTTTTATCTCAGTGTAAGTAAATATTTAGCTCTAGTTGGCGTCAGTCTGTAATGTTTTCTTAATTTGTTATTTTTACAGAAATGGGAGCAGATCGAGTCCAACTCGAAGCTTCGTCATGTGGGCAGCAACCTCTGCCTGGACAGCCGCAGCGCGAGGATGGGTGGGCTAACCGTGGAGGTCTGTGGGCCGAACCTCAGCCAACAGTGGAAGTTCACCCTGAATTTACAATCATAGGGGGCGCTGCAGAGCCCTGGATATCTGACTGAGACACAAAAAGACAGAAATACGAGCAAAAGACTGGAGGAGCCGGATGGACTGGAATAGTCCTTGTCCTCCGCAGAGACGCAGCCAGTTCTCTCTACAGCCCTCTCCCCCATCACCGCCCCTTCCCTTAAACGTCGAGCCACGCCCTGTGGGGGAGGGGCTTGTAGACGGCGTCAGACCGAACCGGAGACTGACTGCATGCGGTGGATGGAAGCGATGGAGAGGATTTAGTTTCCAACGACATACCTCGGCCTTCTGTCATTGACGGTTCCAGAGAGATTTCCTTTTTCTTCTTTAATGCTGGTTGAAAACAAACTAAACTCTTTGGTGGATTATTTTTATTTTTCTTATGCGTTTTTTTTTTATTATTATTATTCTTGAATCTGCTGAGAGCTGCTGGAGCTGGTTCTGTTCCTAAGTGATTCTTGTTGGGACAGATGGAGGTTTCTTATGGGGGGATTTTGGGTGTCGAGTGATGATGGGAGGAGGAACACGGACTCGATTCTTCGAGCTGTTCTTTTGCTCTCTCACTAGTTTACAGAATTGACAAAAAGAGATGGAGGAGGAGAAAAGAGAACTCTGTATTTTACTTTCTGTGCGTCTGATTCTAGTCTGTTGTCCTTGGGAAAGTCTTTACTTCGTGACGGAGGGTTGCGTCTGAAACAAAGCCCGTCTCTAAGGTCTTCAGGATGTAGCACTGGCTGCTGCAGCATCTTTACTTCTACACTTTGTTGTTTCTTAAAAACTGCACAAAAAAAAAACAAACAAACATAATAAGTCTTTGTTTTGTTTACTCTTGTCAGCATATGACACCAGATTTGAAAGAAGAGTTTGTTTTAAGTTTCAGGAGGACCAGAGGAGCAATTAAAAGCAGTTTTTCCTTACATACTGTGGCTGTTCTCTGACTGCTCCTGGTGGCCTGTCTTCACATCTTTACATTTGCTGGTTGAGACATGGGATGGTGTGATCAACTTCACTAAATCATATCCTAAATATTTTGACAATATTTACAACTGTTTCATCATTTTAATCAAAAACAGAGGAGCAGAAATTATTTCTATTAATAAAATAACATACAAGGATTATTACACACTTAATAGTAATAATACTCACAAATATTTTATTTTATTTTGATACAAAACTAATGGTAACACCTGGTAAATTTAATTGTAGCTTTCAAGTAAACATACAGAATATTTGTATTTAGTTATTTTGCTCCATGACGGCCTGATGGTTGTCACTACTGGAAGTATTTCCAGACAGCTGAATTTACCCTTTTATATCAGCGAGAGGGGGAAAAAAAAAAGTTCCGTTTTTTAATTTAAAAAAAAAAAAATACAAGCCAGCTGACCAGCAGTGTGCAGCGACAGGTGAGGGGAAGGCAGCATTCTCCAGTTTAGCACTTTCTCTGACGCCTCGTTAAAGGAAAGCTTGAAGCCGCAGGAACAGTTTTATGATACTTTTAAAAGTTTTGAGCCCATAACCTTTTGATTTTGAATACGTTTCAGTTCTTCAGTTCTGACCACTCAGGTTTCACCCGTGATGCGAAATTCACATTCTGCCTGTTTCTACTCCTCCACTTGGGTCTCAACTGCTTCTAAAAGTAAACCAGTGTTTAAAAAATAGAAGTCAATGTTTTCTGGTGTCTGAAATGGGCGCTGCGCTGTTACCTAGCAACCCTGGCCGAGTCCAGCCCCATCACCTAGCAACCCTGGCCGAGTCCAGCCCCATCACCTAGCAACCCTGGCCGAGTCCAGCCCCATCACCTAGCAACCCTGGCCGAGTCCAGCCCCATCACCTAGCAACCCTGGCCGAGTCCAGCCCCATCACCTAGCAACCCTGGCCGAGTCCAGCCCCATCACCTAGCAACCCAAGCAGCACTCAGGCACATCTGTTTCCCTGCTTGATGCTCCACTAATGAACGTCGTATAGTGACACATCTGCTTGCAGCCATTTTCATTTGTGAGTGTAAACATTGACTTGGGGGCGTGGCCAGCAGCAGCTTACTTGGATTTAAAGTGACAGGACGCCCTAAAACGGCTCATTCTGAAAGGAGTTCAAATTAGACACATAATCTCATTATGCAAGAATGATTTTTATGTTAAAAAAAAGTGAAGTTTTGTGAAGCCCGTAAATCTAACCTGTTCAAAGAAGCGTAGTAGGTCACCGTTAACGTGTTTCAGTTCAGCTCTATGGATTTCTCTGTCCTAAATGATTCAGAATCTACACAATGTGTAGATTTCATCTTGACACCAGTTCCTGGTCCATGTCTGCTTCTGAGATTTACTGTCAGCTTTGTGTCTGATGGTCTCTAATATCGTTTCAGTTTCTCTACTTTCTTATTGACAAAAGCATCAGACGTGTTCATTTCACTGAGGAGCCTCCATCAGCTTCCTGATGGGTTCTGTGTGATGACGGAACCCGCTGTCAGAAGGACCGTCTGCCATAAGTTTTTCTGATTGTTCTCTCAGTTTCTGCGGGAGCTTCGCAGATTTTTCTGATAACTCAGGCATTGCTGCTCCGTTCATGCTGACCGTGGTTGAAATGGGAAGCTTCTTATTTTACTCCAACAGCCGATCAGAGTAACAATATTTTGGTGTCACAAATCATCACTGTGGCGTTTTTTCACCACATCTGCAGCAACTTGATAGTTTTACAGAAGACATTTTCAGTTCATTTCTCCTATCGTAATCTGACTCCCTCTGGTTTTTTTTAGCGTCTTTATTGCATCATATTTGTTGTTTATTCTCTTCAATTCTATTTTATTAATAACTGATGATGAAGGTCGAGGAGAATTAGCTCTGCATACGTTTGGAGTGACGCGTTGATTTGGAGTGACGCATTGATTTGGAAATTCACTGCGTCTTATATCGGATCAAGCAAAGGTATTCGCAGTCCTTGAACTTTTAGACATTTAGTGACCTGGATCTGAAAACGTGTTTTAGTATTTAATGTGACAAAGCAAAAGTTTTAAAGGAAATGTACATGCTTTTTCCAAATATTTCACAAATAAGAGTGGTTAGGTTACTCTGCAAAAACACAAAATCTAACAAGTATTTTTGGCCCAGTTTCTTTGTGCACTTGAATTACGGCAAAACTAACAAGAAACTTCACCAAGATATAGGAGCTTGTTTTAAGATCCAATGTGAGATTATTTCGCTTATAGGAAATTGTTTTATTAGTGAAAAACTGAAACGTACTTTTCAGATCTTTTTCAGATCTAGTACTTTTTAAAATCAGTATTAACAAATTATTGACTCAAAACAAGATCTTGTATCTTGCTGAAAAGTTGCTCGTTAGTTTTGTATTATATAAATTATTTGCACCAGAAATTGGACCTAAATACTTTTTGTGTTTTTAAAACATCTGCAGCGCTAATCGTCTCTGGATCACTGCTAAGTTCTAGTCAACTCTTGGAAATGGTGACGGCGTCATGACGCTGTGAGGAGGTTTTACTTCAGGAGGGCCCGGGTGAGGGGTCAAAGGTCACGAGAAGACGAATGAAGCTTTGCACATTTAGAAACCAACGTTTTTATATCATTTGATTTTTTTGCAAAATGAGCCGATCTGAGTCAGCGTAGATGGAGAGGAACGATCAGCTTCTTTCCCATCCCTGCTGAAGAAACTTATCCCCACAGCATGATGCTGCCGCCACCATGCTTCACTGTGAAGATGGTGGGAGCAATCCCGTCTACTGTTTCATAACCCTGATTTCTTTGTGATGCTGTCGTCATGCAAAATCTCAACACTTTTCAGAACAAGCGGCTCGGCTTCATCTGAGATAAACTGGAAATTAGACACGCCTCTGATCTTAAAACCAGAAATTATTGATCAAGCCTTCCTGTTTATATTTTCTGTCCCAAGCAACCAGCAGACGAGGACAACGTCTGGAGTGTTTTCTGATACTTTGTGTTTCTCTCTCTTTGTGTTTTTCGCTCTGCGTTGCGTTTGGCATTTCTTTTAAACTTTGTGTGACGGGAGGATTTGCCGCCGAATCCACAGATGTGGCGTCCACATTTTTTACAAATAATTCAATGGGTAAATGAGATGGGATCAAACCTGTTGGAGGACAAAACTTTAAAACGTACATTAATGTGTTATAGTTGGTTTGTGGTTTATAGGGGATGGTTTGGAAATCCAATGGAAAAATGCTGATTTTTTTTTTTTCCTTATAGTTTTGAAATTTTCTACCTATCCCTCAGAAGTTCTGCCTGGATCTCTTAAATATTCCCATAGAAAAATATACTATGATCATTTTTTTTTTCTATTTGTAAGAAAAAGCGCAGAAAATGTATTTTTAGTGTTTTGACTTTTATTGTTGACTTTTTTTGTTGACCTTTGAAGTGAAGAAAATGGCTGCAGTTTTATATCCCCACCTGAGTCGGTGAAATTATTTCTTAATATTTTATTTAAGGTTGCTCTAGAAACATCTTCAATCAACATATTGTACCATTATTTTTTATATGAATTCTTCATTTTGCTAACTTTAAACATCTTAAATCTTTAGCAGTTTGTCGTAAACTTGAATTTTCAGAGCGGTTGCTCTCTGTCCCAAAACAAACCCTCCCACAGCAACAACTTTTGGCTGCCGGTTATAAAAAAACAGTTTCTTTTTTTTTTATATCCTAAACATTCAAACTGGTAGGTTCAATAAACACAAACTAAAAATTTTTGTCCAGTCGGAAAAATTAAGTGCGACTTTTTAAAAGGATTTCTGCCAGAAAATGAACACAAATCAAGAAATTGTTTGCTTAAAGAAGTCGCGCATTTTAAACGTGCATCAGCGGCACAAAATAAAAATGTTGCTCTGATTAAAAAGGACAAAATATTAATTTCCAAAAAAATACTCTGCATGAAGTTTTCTTTAGTTGAAGATTGTGTTTGAAATCAGAAGAGCAAAAAACCAACAGGTTTTATATCAAGTTTTTTATTTTATTTTTAGGACACAAACAAACGGGCCCTGTTCTAACAAAATAAATGAATCTTTTTACTTTTGAGCACAAATAAATGTAATAATTCCACCGGCACATTTTGGCTGTTTTTCAGTAAATCCTGTTGTTCACCCAGAATGAAGTTTACAAAGTAAAAATATGTTCAACAGTTCATTGCATCCTCTGCTCTGAGCTGCAGCTCGTTTAGGAAATCTGATCGACCGGAACATCATGTGACATGAAGCCTTTTCTCTCCATCCAGATGAGATGTTCGATACATTTTCATCTGTAATCATGTTTTACCAAGAGGACATTAGAAATGACAGCGAAGTGGATCAGATAAATAAATGTTTACATCTTTTGCACAATGTGCCAAAGCTTCTTTAGATTTTTGTGTCAGTAGATGCTTGACGATTTGCTCTGCGCCGGTTTTAGTCGACTGATTTTAGCTGCACAGTGGAAAATGAATATTTGAAAAGTAATTGCTTCGTCTCCCTAAGTCTGCAGCAGATCCTCTGAGCTGAATGATGCTTGTTTTTGGAAGAAATCTTGCAGACAGGCATTTTACTTCTTGCCTTTCAGGAGAGTGTAGCACCACTTTGTTTTAAAGAAGTTTTTCTTTTCAACAGGGTGAAAAGTTTAAGCTTCAAACCCTTTAATTAAAGTTTCACAATTGAGCCCTGGAGGTTGTAAAAACCAAAAAAAAAAAAAAAAAAACATTTGACGTTCAGCTCACAACTGGTTTTTATTTTCTGTTGGTAAACGTGAGTCAGGGAATGAGACAAAACACCGCTGAAGGTTTATTTACCAGGAATCAGCAGCAATCTGTGAACAGTGTGGTTCTTTTGTCTGGTGTTAAAGTACGGAGGTGGAACGTCTGACTCACAGGGTCACGCATGTAAAAGTGTATATTTTTGTATATACCACATTCGTGTGTACAGTATGTACATATATACACAGTGTACTTAGCAGCAGTTCCTAGTTTTGTTGTCGGACTGTACAGCGCTTCTAACCGTTCCCTGTTTTATAGACACTGCAGAAATTCACCTTTGAATGAAGACAACTAATTAAATTAAATAAAAACATTTATATATATAAATTGAATGGTGTTCAGTGTGGTTCTAAATGTACCATTGAATATGTTTTTGTTCTTTTACTGAACTGATTAAGAGGGCTGGTTCTGTTCTGGAGATTACTGAAAAACCTCAGGCCTAACACGGCCTTCTGTGCTGATTACGAAATGGAATGACATGTTATCTCATAATTATGGCTTAAGTCATAATTATGAGATTATTTTTTAAAATCAAGAGTAGTGGGAACAGAATAACACTTTGGAGCCATTTTTTTTTCATCAGTGGTGAATATATGAATATATATATATATCTATATATATATTATATATCTATCTATATATATATATATATATATATAGATATATATATATATATATATATATATATATATATATATATATATATATATGAAAAAAATGTGTAATTTTTTCTTTCTATATTAAAATGATTTAATATATTTTGTTTTAATTTATTCCATACATTAAAATAAAGTACATTAAGATTCAGAAAGAATAGTGAAAATGGGATGAAAGGGAGCAATATATACATATTTATATGTGTTATTTAATTATTTTCCTTCCAATATAATATTACTTAATATGTTTGCATGAATTTATTCCATGAAATCCCAGTAAAATACATTAAGTTCTGGTCATGTTCTGTGCCGCGGTGCAGTTCCGGCTCGTGTCCAGCAGGGGGCGATGTCAGCCTGCAGTCTTCCCTGCCGAGGATCGCAGAGGAAGAAAGCGGCTCAGACAGAAGCGGATTAGCGAACTCAGCAGACTGTGGAGGTCTGTGGGCTCTGGGGGGAACAGCGACCTGAAGAAGCCATGAAGAACGAGGGCATCGAGGGGACGGAGCGGTTCCTGAGCCCGGAGCGGGGCCGCGGCCTCCGGGCGCTCCGGCACTTCGCGGTGGGGGAGCTGGTGTTCGCCTGTCCTGCCTACTCCTACGTGCTGACGGTGAATGAGAGGGGCGCTCACTGCGAGCACTGCTTCACCAGGTAACCTGCTCCTCAGCACCGGGGACCTCCGAACACTGACGGGTTCAAAGGTCAGCCTGACTCAGCTGAAGCTGCAGCGAGGCAGCTCACCTGGTTCCTGCTGTGCAGGTGGCAGAGGCAGATTTACTGCCCTGGGCAACAGAGGAGAGGGCTGGTGGTGATGTGTGACCACTGCAGCTTTTAAAATAGGAAGATTAACTTAGAAACGTCCTTGTTTACTGCAACATCTGGTGCATCGTGTAGCATTTTTTTAAATAGTTAGCTTCATGGAAGCAGCAGCAGTTTTTCCACTTGGTCACATATGTCCCACGCAGGCTGCCGTTGCACCACCAAAAGGTTATGGGGCTAAATATATCTGTCCATGTGTCCCAGGACAGGAAAAGGCCACGGCGCATGATTCTGTTAAAAACCAGGTTGGATGCAAGCACATATATTTAATTATAGGCCTGCAACTGTCAAATGTTAGGACGATTAACCGATTAATCTGTTAGAAATATATATATTTAACGCAAATAAACAAAAATTCAATTTCTGTTTGTAAATAAAATAATATAGCATTTCTGTAGTTAACATGAACCAGGTATAGCTGAAAAATTATTTTAAATGCAAAATATATTAATATTTTGTCTTTTTTTGGCTAAATTGCTGCTACGAATATGTTGGGTTTTATTTATTTATTTTTGTGTGTATGTGTGTAGACTCCACTTTACGATTAATTGATCACTTGGTTTGCAATTATTTCAGTAATTGCCACGATTAATCGTTCCAGTCCTATTTAAGTATGTGAAACCTTCTTAAAATTAAATAAGTTTAATTTGGAACCAGGTATTCTATAGTCTCATTATTATCAGGCTCTCCATAGTTTCACACAATATAGTTGTCAATTTAACTCGAGTTGCACTGATTGGGTTTTTTTTAACCAATTTTTGGTTTTCTTTAGATCTGACCAGCTTATATAACTGTGTCCAGTAAGTCAGTTCATTGCAGGATAAATTAAAACAAACTCAATAATTTCCATTTGCACGATTGATTTTTTTTCTTTTTTATTTCAAAGGCTGAATGACAATAAGCTTCAGTCTGGTGCTTTGGACCCAACTAGCCCATTTGTTAACGAACATTTTTGTTTACAGAGTCTTAAGTATCAATTTTATTTGTTGTTTTGGTTATTTACTTGAGATTTGTCAAATATCTTCCAGTTCCAGTGTTTATTGATCTTTGAGAAGGCGTACTTGCATTACTACATGAATACAATTAAGGTACTTGAATATTATCTCAAAACAACAATGTTTTCATTCCTCACAATAAACTCTGGGTCAATTTATCGTCCGTCAACATTTGTTATTGTGACTTGTTCTGTTTTTAATTTATTTGTTTAAAAGGTTATGTGCTCCAGGATTTTTGATAGCGGAGGTAGGTTTGAATCTGATGGAAAACTTTAAGAAAATGCTTTTTTTTTGTGGATTTTCCTCACAACATGCATGGATGTTCAGAACATGCAATCGTCTCCACGCTGGAATGCAGAACCCTCCTTCTGCAGGACAGCAGGCTTAACAATTGCACCTCCTGCTGTACATATTGATGTTTAGCATTGACACTTGTGGATTTTACTTGATTTTTAGGATGAAAAAGTATTATGGCTGAAAAACATTGACATAATAATCCTGTGTTCAGTCTGGGATGATCAAATTCAGATTAAACAAATCAAAGTGATTTTTTTTTACAATCTTAGTTTAGAACCTGTTGATTATTAACTTTACTTGATCATTTTGTTGAAGTTTGTATTTGGAGTGAATTTTAGAGTTTGGATTATATGATCAGCTCTAATCATGAAATCATACTTTTTTACTTTTGCAGGAGAGAAGATCTTTTTAAATGCGGTAAATGTAAACAGGCCTTCTACTGCAATGTTGACTGTCAGGTAAGAGGAGCTTTTTCTCCCTTCTTTTCTCTTTTGGAAATGTTTAATTTCAGCTTCCCTTTTTCTAAACAAATCAGAAGAATTGAGAGATTTTCAAATTTGGTTTGAAATTGTGTGGGGCTCTTGCAGATTTAAGCTATTTTACACGCAGGCTTATTTATTCCTGGAAATAAATGGAGCCAAAGTGTTTTTAGGGCTTCATAGTTTTTGAACCTCAGAGAGGATTTCCATTTTTACACTAAAAAATCTTTTTGCAGGATCTTTGTCGATCATGATTTAATTGCTCTCAATTTTGAGCTTTTAAAAAGTTCTAAGTATGGAAAAACTTCCACATTGGATTACAGATTAATTAAGTCATTGTTTCTTCCATTAAATTAAAGAAGTGTTATTACAATTAGCAAATTTTGCTGAAGCCATTTTGTTATCTGATCCACAAATAAGAAAGTGTGTATTTAATGAGTTTTTGTTATGTTGTTAGCTAAAACTTGCTGTAAGTAACACCATAATGTTAGTCGGTTAGAGCTTTAAATATTAAACAGATTGTTAGTTTTTTTAATTCTCACAAATCTTGAATTAAGTAATAAAGAGAAAATCTGTTATTTTCTTTATTTGTTGCTTATTTATTTCCCTGGTTCGTGCATTTACTGGTCGCCTTATTGATGATGGAGTCCTTTGTGGTTCTTCTCTGCTCAGAGAGGCGACTGGCCCATGCATAAGCTGGAGTGTGTCGCCATGTGTGCATATGGGGAGAACTGGTGTCCATCAGAGACGGTCAGACTGGTGGCCAGAATCATCATGAAACAGGTAACAGTCACCAGATGTAGGAGGATGTTTCAGGTGTGAAGCTCCTGGTCTAAACCATTTTAATCCAGTATACATATAGAAACCATAATAAAAGAGGGAAGAGATGTTGGTTTATACGTGTTATGGCTCTAAAATAGTTCTTTTGAACAGTTTTGCAAACTCTACAACTAAGAAAGTGAACTCTTGATAGAAACTGTCTTTTATGATCAAACTGTAGTTTTCAGTAAAGCTTTGTCAGCAATGAATTATCTGCAAAACCAGTTTATGTCTTAAAACGTGAGGCCCGATTAAAGCTTTCTGAATGTCTCTTGCATATTTATGTGCTGTGATTAAACTGTCCTCCTGTGTCTGAACTGTTGTGTCAGAGAGTCACGGCGGATCGGACCCCCTCAGAGCGGCTGCTCCTGCTCAAAGAGTTCGAAGCACGTGAGTCATCGTCCCAGTCTGTGAATTAAACCACCAGCGTTTGGTTACATATTCCTGCACTTTTAGTTACACGGTGTGTTAATTTGCTCATCTGTGTGTGATCTCGCTGTAGTTTTAGCAGAATCTATTAATATTCTCCGCTGTAGCCTCCAGTCCTGATTCTGTCTCTTTCACTCAGTTTGACTGCAGAGCTGTGGGACTCAAATCCCAAGTTACAGGGTGCTGTAATTTTATTCTCTTTCTGTGTTCCCGTTAACTGCTGCCAACAGAGCGAGTTCATACAGTAACGCTGTCGATCGTTGCTCTTAAAGGGATATTAAAACTTCACTAAATGAATTGCTTTAACTCAAACTCTACCATGATTACTATCGTCGTTTTCCTTATCTTATTAAAATGTTTAGTGCTCTGCTTTTCTCTCATTCTATTTTTGCTTCGTAACACGTGAATACTTGTTGCGTCACGACGTTCGGCTGAAAGATCGATATTGATGTCAAGAGTTTGTATGGTAAACGTCAAAACAGAACCACGTAAAGTGAATTTTGCGCGCCACACCGGACTCTGTTTCGGCCGTTACTCTTAACCGCCATTTTTTATTCCAGTATTGGCTGACCTGCGGCGCCCTCTTTTGGATGGCGACCAAACTGCAACACTGTTAGTTACTCGATTGAAACGCATTTTGATTTAATAGGCCATTAATTGTAGATTCATTGTTTATATTCCTAATTCCAAACACTCTTCATAATGAAGAGTGTTTGAAACTTCTGTCTAAAATCACTTCTCTAATCTTTTCTTCTTTATATATGGCACCGTAATGTTCTGCTGCGATGTTCAGAGCTCTTTCCCTCCATGTGCTGTCTCTCCATTGACTTCCTGTGTTTTGCCTCTTACAGATCTGGATAAGATGGACAGTGAGAAGGAGGAGTTAAACCAGGCTGACATTGCGGCTCTGCACCATTTCTACTCCAAACACATCAGTGACCTCCCTGATGACCAGGCTCTCACTGAGCTCTTTGCACAGGTAAAATCTGAGAACATTTTGATCAGAAACATTAACAAAATGAAGCTGATGGTTCGTTCTGGTCACTGAGTTACACTGGCCATCTCTTTATGGGGCTTAAGCAGCATCAGTATTGACTCTCAGTATTGACCAAAAGCTCTGTTGATGAATATACTAAATGTTGTGCTTTGCAGAAGGATTTGTACCAATCGTCTTTTTCATATTGCACAAACTTGGTCATATTTTACTGAAGTGCATCTAAATCGCCACCTTTGACCCTGAAATACCTGAATAAAATATGGTGCAGCTATTTAAAGGAAAGGTTATGTAAGTAAGTTTCTTATGCAGCAGCTGGATTTATGCTCAGATTAAATTGCTTTTTACTAATTGTGATCTCTGCTCTCTAGAACCCAGATCTGCAGCTTTTAAACCCTAGAAATTAAGAGAATTATGCTTCTCACAATGTTTCTAAATAAAAATAGTAATGAAAAAGCTTTCTGGATTTTTCTGGATGTAATTACAACCTCTACAACAGAATAACAATAATGGCACATAAATATTTAAATAAATGCGGTTCTTTAATCGAACCGTAAACCAAACAAAAATGGCATTTTAAAAATCGATGCGCTCTTTGTTTTCACTGGGCCGTGTTGCTTTTGTGGCTCCAGACAAATGTTGCAAAAAGAGTTTTAAATGTTTTTATTTTGTGGCAACACAGTTAAGGATCTGAATACAGTGAATAAACATAAATAAGAGTATTTACTAAAAAGTGCTTACACTTTGTGCTCATTTGTTTTTTTAGTGTCAGGTGTTGTCATTGAAATTAAACATGAACTCTGCTCCTCCAGCTTTACCAACTAAAATGGTGAACAAATAGGAAATGGAAGAGTTTTTATTTATACTGGCAAGCAGCAGCACATGTTGGTTGCTTCAGGCTGGTCATTGCTGGCTGACCGGATCCAGTCTGCAGCTCTTATCGCTTTAATTTGATCCGTCTGGCGGAGCCGCGGCCTCTTTGCTTTCACACTGCACTAATGGAAACAACCTCTTTAGACTCTTATCTCAAGGCTACATTTAATCTCCGCTGCAGGATGTCCTCCATCCTATCAGACGTTTCACAGCACTTTAGTCTGCGATGTTTGCTTTGTCATCATATATCTGAACTCTGGTTTATTTGGGGTTTTTTCCTGTTTCCAGGTGAACTGTAATGGTTTCACCATAGAGGACGAAGAGCTCTCCCATCTAGGATCAGCTGTTTTTCCTGAGTAAATACTTTACAAATCATCAATTAATCGTTTCATCCCTACTCATAACCTTCTCCTCTTCTGTTATGCAGATATTTTTCCATCCTTATCTCCTTTCTAGATGTAATTAATTTAAATTATGCTTTCTCCTTCCAGTGTAGCGCTGATGAACCACAGCTGTAGTCCAAATGTTATTGTGACCTATAAAGGCACAGTGGCTGAGGTCAGAGTCGTTCAAGAGATAAACCCAGGGGAAGAGGTAAAAGACAAAGCTGCTGTGTTTGCCAAACAAAAATGTCCTCCTCTTTATTCTTTATTGATTTCATTTTTGCAGATCTTTGACAGTTACATAGACCTGCTATATCCAACAGAGGACCGGAGAGAGAGGCTATTAGAGTCCTACTTCTTCATGTGTCAGTGCACCGAGTGCACCACCCGGTCTAAGGTATGACAGATCGCTCCTCTCAAACTCTTTTCATCCAAAGCAAAATGAGGACAGAACAGAGTAGTTATGAACAGTCAAAACAGATAAGACTGGTGTGATCTGGGAACAAATATATGATATCATAACCATGAAGGAACCTTCATGAAGTGCCATTTGGTAAATACTGACACTTTCATGCATAAACTTGCACTAAAAGTCTATTAAAAGTCAACTTTCCATAAAAAGTGTCATTATTTTCAGAATGACACTTTGTGACACTGGTCATAAATATTGTGACCGGTGTCATGTCTTGTTTATGAGTCTTATGAAAAGGCCTTCAGATAAAGTGTTACCAAAACAATTGATTTGCTCATCGCATGAAATCGCATTTAAGTTGCATAAAAGGTTAAAGTAGATGCTTTTGTAAGGCAATTTATGTCACCACTATTAAAAGCAACACACAAAAATACATGCATACCAGTGTTTTCCGTGTAACAGCTTCCGTCTGGAAACTTTACGACTATTTACTGCTTTTCTCGTTGTGCAGGACAAAGCAAAAATGGAGATCAGGAAGCTGAGCTCTCCACCAGAACCAAAGGAAATCCAGTCTATGGTCCAATACGCCAAAAATGTCATCGAAGAGTTCAGAAGAGCCAAGCACTACAAAAATATCCTGTTCTCATTAGAGCTTTCCCTGTGACGCTTTCCTGTCTCGCCTCTTTGTGCCTCCTGCTGTTTGTCGTTCCTCCTTGACTCTGTTGCACATCCCAGCGAGCTGCTGGAGATGTGTGAGCTCAGCCTGGAGAAGATGGGAGCTATTTTTGCAGACACCAACGTCTACATGCTGCACATGATGTATCAGGCCATGGGCGTGTGTCTCTACATGCAGGACTGGGACGGCGCCATGAGCTACGGGGAGAAGATCGTTCAGCCGTACAGGTCAGCAGACGTGATGCGTCCGAAACCAGAAGGTCCATTCAGAGGTCTGAAGAGACGTTTTAGAGCAGAGTAGGGTTTTGACCCAAGTAACAGTAATAATAAAACCATTTACCTCAGCCGTTATATTAAATTAGCTTTTTTTTCCATTTTCAACTCATTTGACATCTGTGATTTCCAGCAATTTCTTTTATTTATATTAAATTATATTTAAAAAATTCACATTTAGCATGTTTGTATCCGTCCATTTGGGTCTGAACTGTTTCTAAAAACAATAAAACCTGCTTTATAAAAACCATCCAACAAGGCAACAAGTTGTTTTTGTTTTGGAATTTCAACTTTCTATTGAAGGCAGCTGAGTTTCTAATTATTGAAGCACCAAAACAAAACCGTCCTTTACCTCTGTTGTCTCTGTAACTCCATGGTTGTTGCCGTTTTCTCCGCAGTGTTCACTACCCGACCTATTCTCTGAATGTGGCGTCCATGTACCTGAAGCTGGGCCGTCTCTACTTGGGACTTGAAAAGAAATCCCAAGGTGTCAAAGCTTTGAAAAAGGTCATTTTTGTCTTTATTTGTGTGTTTTTTTACCGCAGCATATTACATTTTAAACTTTGTAAGTTTATATAGAAAATATGGTTTCTTTGGCAGAGTTGCCAGCAGGAAACCTTTTCTGTGTAAAAACAGGTTGCAAGGAAACTTTGATTTGCAATGTTGTGTCTGATGAAACCAAATTAAAGATATTTTTTATTTTCAAACGCTCCCTGTACCGTTCTAGTCAAAACACCGACGTCAAGCCCATGATGTTGGTGCTGAGGAAATGTTTCACGCTGTAAAAAATCACTTAAAGGAGGCATTATGTATTTTCCAGGCACATAGTTGTTATAAAAATGTTTCTATCAAACATAACTTTAAAAAAAGTGACTTTTCAATTAGATGCCTTGAAATTAGGCCTCTGTCTCTTTAAGAAGCTCCTCTTCTTTCTGAGATTCAGCCTTTATAACAATGATGCTCCATTATTCCGTTTAAAACTGTTCTCAAGAGCTTTGGAGTACTTTTTACTTTATTGTCGTACAGCTTCTTGTATTACTACGACTGCATTATTGTACTATTTATTCTCATAAGTAAGACTTTACAAGATTGTAGCCTGGCCCGGTTATTCTGCTGCAGAGTTGACCTGAATTCAAAGTCCACATAAACATAAACTGTAAACACGCTTGTCAAACAAGATGGCGGCTCTAAATTATGGAAACCCAATGAGTTTATTGGTGGGGAAAAAAAATCCAGATTCACCAAAAACGTGATCCTAAAAAAATTTAAATTTGATTAATTCATAAAATCAATTTACTGACTGGATGCCTTCTGAGAGTTTCTTCTGGGAAGTGTGTGTGTCAATGATAATGTCTTTATTTCTCCTCAGGCGTTGGCCATCATGGAGGTGGCTCATGGGAAAGACCACCATTATGTAGCAGAGGTCAAACGGGAAATCCTGGATCAGAAATAAACGAGAAAATTAAACTTGGGACCTCCTTAAAAAGCAACAAAACACACTTCTCCAAAGCATGGCATGCATCCTTTACCTCTGTTGTTTCACCTTTTTTATATTCCTGCCTCACTTTATGCACATGTGTTTTAACTTTTCTTCAAATCCTGGACTTTAACTAGATTTGCTTTTTTGAATTCATTTAAAAACACCTGAAGCATTTTGTTTTTCATCCTGAAACTAAATTCATAGTCCTGCCTTTTAACGCTGCCTTCTGAAGAAAGTCAAGTTTTCTATCTGGTAGCTTCCACCTTCGTCCTGCTTCTCCACTCAGTGTCTTGTGGATTCATCTCCAGACTGTTGGTGTTTTTGCAGCCTTTCGAGCTGCTTTGTCCTTCCAGATTAGTTACAGCCTGTCTGTTTACCACCAGAGGACAGTTTCTGGTTGCACATGCTCTCAGTAAAACTGTGATCTAACACTAAGACTGACCATGCATCACACACTCTGTAGCAACAGAGAGGTCTCACAGAGCGTTTTGGTTTGTTGAAGGAAGTGTTGCATGCTTGACTTATTATGCATTTGTTTATATTTCCCTTTGTCTTTTTTTAAATGAAGTGATCAGTTCATGTCTTGGCTGTTTTCTCCTTTCAAAAAAGAAGAGAGTAAGAAAAGTATCGCATCAGAGCTGAAAACAAAAATGTATATTTTTTTTATTTACTGCTAAAAAGGATTGCATATACATGATTACAGTACAGTATTAGGTACTTTTTTTCTCATTCTGTGTTTTAGTCGTTTAGTCGGACAATCTGCTCGAGTAGCAAGCCCGCATTACAGACGTCCAGTTTGCGGCGAAGTAGCATAAAGGTGATGTTGCTGCTTTAGTTTCCACATAATCACTGTTTGTGCTTTTCACAACTGGAAATATTTCCAAAAAGATTTTTTTTTTTCTTTATTGCAAGTAAATGAGCAGAGTGGAGGTTTTATCCAGCCAGCTGACCTGCAGTTGGCTGATTGTGTGACCTTGGCAGGTCAGGATAACCGACCCAAAGCGAAACACGCGGGCCTGGGAATGAGCGGCGGACTGAGATTTGACCAAATGTTTCTGCCAAGGATCCGGCCAAAACCGGACCCTCTGATTCTGTCATAAAACAGGAACTCTGTCTTTTGTCTTTTTTTTGTGTGTGTATTTTCTTTTTGTTGTTGTTGTTGCAGTTTTCTGTAGAAGCATATTCTCTTCAGTCTGGGTTTGATGTTAACATGCACTAAGAAGATTACATATCTACATTCTGTAAGAAATATTTATGTAAGAGGAATGTTCCTGCTTCACGTGTCTCATCTTACTGTCATTTTTGAATTTTAAACTTGATGCTTTTTGCTTAATTTGCACCACGGCACATCAGAAAAATCCAAACAGTTCAAAAACCGTTACAGCAGAAACGATTAAATACTAGCGAGACAAGTCTACATTATAATTTTCAGGCAGCTACAAACACTCACTCTAAAGTGTGAGGCAGGTGCTGATTGTAAAATTATAGCTTTTTTTGTAGACTTACTGCAAAAATAATAAAAAAAAATCTTACTTAGTATTTTTTGGCCTAGTATGTAGTCAAAATATCTAACTTATAGGTAGCTTTTCAGCAAGCTAGAGTATTTTGTTTTGAGTAAATAATTCATTAATATTGTTTTGTAAAGTACTACAGGTTTCCCTGATATATTATTTCACTTATAAAATGAGGAAATATCTTATTAATGAAAAAGCTGCTAGTGAAACCAGTATGTTGTAGTCAATATTGAGGAATCACTGACTTAAAACAAACTGCTGTTTCTTGCTGAAAAATTCCTTATTTTAAGTGATGTTAACTTGGATATAAACACTTGAAACTAGAAAAATACTTGGTAACATTTTTTGATTTTGCAGTATAAATCTCCTAAAACCATTGAGAAATACTTGTTTTTTCCCTTTTTTAATGTTTTAGCTCTTAATTTGACAAGCAATGAAAGCTTTGAAGCAAAGATCACCTGGGCCTTATCTAAGGGTTTTCCTTGCACTCATGTTTTGTATTCTCAATGCAACTAAATGATGTCAAAGACGAACTTAAATATGGTTTATACATGAAATGGACAGTTTTGCTGTCAGTGGATTGTCATCAGAAACCAGTAGCTTCTCTTTTTGTTCAGTGTTTCAATGCACCACATCAATGTGGCCTACAGACTGGCGTAAACTTGCAATGAGTTTTCTGTGGTTGTATTTGTAGCATCGCCTGCTTATGTGACTGTCGACTATTAAACAATTATGCATCTGCAAGGTGCCTGCCTTATAGCTGTAATGTGAAAAGCACCATTTCAGCAGCTCAGTTCAGCCCACATAATTATTTTTGTGGATTTCTGCAAGAGAAGAAGAAACAGAGGCTTTGCACAAGCCACACACTGTTTGGACTGTCTGTCTAAACTTAAGCGCATTTAGTAAGACTTTTTTGCCCTGGGATGTTCAAACCAATCTGTTGTTTTGTAATTCTTTGTGATCCTTTCTGCATGTTTCTGGAATAAATTACCAAGCATGAATGTTATTCTGTTGGAATAAAAAAAACATCTAAGTCTATAATTTTTCATTATGTTTTAAATGTAAACGAATAAATGATGATTGAACTATTTGTACTCGTATCGATTCAGATTTTGCAACCGAAAATGTTTTGAATCAATCAAGAGTTCACAGCACTTTTTCTTCCATGTTTTTTTTTTTTTTTTTTAACTTTTTTTCTAAATTGTGCAGAAGTAGAGAGGTAAATTGTGCAGAAAAAGTTCAACATTCTGCTTTAAAATTATTGGTTGTGAAAGTTTTTTTTAAAAAAGAAAAAGATGTACTATAATACTGGTTGAATGTGATGACGTACTAATCAGCTCCACCTACTGGTAGTTTTAAAAGCAATACCTAGTTTCCAAGGTTACACATCATAGCTGTAAGAAAATCTTTCATTCCTGCTATACAGCATCCAAAACCAGGGTGAAAAATTCTCCAAACAAAAATATTATGAACAAAAGTCTACAAACAGAACTTCAACATGCTCTTACCATGGAATCATCCACATGTAAACATCCATAATTAAGCATCCTTATGATCAAACTACTGTTAATAAATTTCTCATTTGTAAGGATATTATAATTTATTGAGATTAAATTTGATTTATGAGTTTGACTGGGTCTTGATGATACCAAGATACTTTATTTCTGTTAGTGGAGATGGGACATTTCTGTTTGTGGTGTGTGTTGACATGCTGACACCGCAGGAGGGCACTGTGGAAACAGTAACAAGTAAGCCAATCAGGTGCGGTATATGAGTCGTGACGTCAGTTTGATTGGACCAATGAACGTGTAGGCAAGGGAACGAACTCTTCCTCAACTACAGTTTGAATTTTCTGAAGTCGAGCAAGAAGCGTCGCGCCCAAAGTAAGTCAGGCGAATTTATCCGTTATATCTTCATGTGTTAAAATAATCTCTGAAGTTATTTTGACAATACGAGTTGGTATTTATTAGAGTTGCTAATTTTCAAGCCGCGGACCGGAAATGAAAGTTAAGTTTTATATTTTTGTTGAAACAATTCAACTCGATCAACTACAATAGAAACTGTAGCTGAACGTTTTAATGCGTTTCTTTACGTTTAACGGGAATTTCACTCCTCACGGATCACACGTGTGCTTGCTGGCCCAGAGTCCTTCAAAAATATGTTTTATTTGTGTTTGTAGTTTTTATTTATTTATGCACTGACGTTGATTAATGGCGCTAATTACCGACCTCACTGCAGTACAGACAGACGTACTGATCGCACATTGCTTAGTTACTGTTTGCTGTCGCATCTTTAGATGATGAACATTTCATTTAAACAAAAAGATCATTGTTATGGCTTTTTCTGTCGTTGTTTTATTCAAATATAATCCTTTTTAATAAGCTTCTTCACAAAATCCGCCTGCTGTGATACGATCAAAGCAGAAACATTTGTTTCAAAATAACAGTTATTAACACGGGCTTATTTTCTGCTGATAAATATTCCAGTATTCATATATATATATATATATATATATATATATATATATATATATATATATATATATATATATATATATGGAAATTCACTAAAGGAAAACTGTTTTAGGCAATAAAAAAATTTATTATTTGTTTTTCTTAATCTTTTAACAATGTATTAAAGGCTCGGTGAAAAATTGCCGACTCTAATAAAATATACATTGATGTTATAATGATATGCAATACAGAAAATTTTAAATGTTCTAAGTTATTTAAGGGAACTCTTAGTTACTTTGACAAGAGCGTTTATATGGGATTTTTTAAACTTTAAAATGTGATTTAGATGTAACAATAAAAATTAATAAAAGTTTCTCCAGGTAGGTCAGGTTGGATCTACAAAATGCTACTAAACCTTTGTAGCACATATTTTTCTCATGACTAGTCTTGTCACAATGACGCATTCTTCTGGATGGTAAATTGTCCCAATAATTACTGCAATAAACGATTTTGTTTTGTAACTTTTTCCATGTAATGTATAAAAGTCACAAAACTTTTATACAAACTTGAGGTGGAGCTGGATTCACATGGAGGTGTTACGGGTTGAAGTTGACACGTAACTTTCTAGAACATTGAAATTGTTCTAGATTTCAATTTTGAATCAGAATTTGAAGGTGAAACCAAAGCTAGTTTTATTGGCTCAACCAGCTGCTTATTCAATTTTGGGGTTTTGAGTAAATGCTTGTGTCTCTGGTGGAGGTTTTAGGCCATGAGCTGGGCGGTGGAGGAGTGGAAGGATGGACTTCCAGGGAAAGCCCTGCAGAAGATCCAGGAAATGGAGGTCCAACTGGACAAACTGAAGAAGGAAAGGACGCAGAAGCAGTTTCAGCTGGACTCTCTGGAAGCCGCCCTGCAGAAACAGAAGCAGAAGGTCAGTTTTTACTGGGAGTGAGTGGGTTCGTGACATTTGACACCCGAGTAACTTGACCACTCTGCTCTTCAGGTGGACAGCGAACGCACCGAGATCTCTGCTTTGAAGAGAGAAAACCAGTCGATGATTGAGTCATGTGATGCTTTGGAGAAAACTCGTCAGAAGGTCGTTCATGACCTCGGAGTCAAAGAGCAGCAGGTCCGTTTCTCACGTGAAACCAAGAAAATGTAGCCTGTGCTGAGAGGTTCTTTCGCAACATTTTGTTGGATTTGTTGTCATGAAAAACACATGTTGTGTTGCTTTAACATGTAAAATCTTAATAAAATACATTGAACTGTGTGGCTGAAAATGGTAAAAATGTGTGGTTGTAACTGTTTTCCCCCCTGGACTCAGGTGAGCTACCTGGAGGGTCAACTCAACACCTGCAGGAAGACAATAGATCGACTGGAGCAAGAACTCAAGAAGTGGGTTTGCTTTTGGTTTCTGTTACCTCATTGGGACCATTATTGTTTGCTTTATTTTTAGCAAACGTGTCGGTTCTCCTTCAGGTACAAAACTGAGCTCGATCGCTCTCAACCTGCTGGATCTTCCTCATTGTCCACCTCTTCCTCTGACCTGCAGACGTTCAGCACTCCACAGAAGACTTTCGCTACGCCAGCGCCTGTCGCTGCACACAGACAGCCAGGTATCCTGGTTATCAGGGGCTTTGTGTTTCGTCTGAGCGGTCGTATTTGCAGGTCTCACTCTTGTGCCTTTGCAGACGGCAAACTGGACGAGCTTCAGGAAAAGTACAACCATGAAGTGGAAGAAAGAAGGAAGCTGGAAAGTGAGCTGAAAATGTTGCAGGTTAAGGTGAGTTCTACTTCACCTGATTTCTTTGATTGTAGTTTTAACAGGGACCAATTATGGAAAGTTCATATTTTGCATGTTTTTCTATTTTCATTTGGGAATTAACTGCTTCTAAAAACAACCCCAGCACTTAAACAATTTTTGGCAATAAGTTAAGTTTGAGATTTTCGGCCATGAGCTGGGTGTCACCATGTTTTTTGGTGTCTAGAAAATGAGCCATTTCAAAATCCTGTGACTATTAAGTCACATTCTATGGGGACTGTGTCGTTTCTCAGCAACTATCGCCAAGTCCAGCCCGTTACCTAGCAACTCAAGTGGGACTGCAGCATGTTTGGTCAGCTGGTTTTACGGCTGTTTTCATGTTGGTTGTGCAGGAGGCTCCTCTTGTGCTTTTCAAAGATACATGGTTGTATAATTGTGCATATGTTTGCAGCCATTTTTCTATGTGAGTGTAAATGTTGAGCTGGGATTGTGGCCAGCAGCAGCTTATTGAGATTTAAAGTGACAAGATTCCCTTAAGAAGCGCCAAACTGACCAAAACTAAAATCACATTTTTGTGTGAAAAATGTCACAAACATGTTTTGTATAACCAGTAGATCTATTTAAGGAGCCGCAACAAGTCGCCTTCATCGTGTCTGTCCTCCTTCAGTTGCTGAATCAGTCATCTGTCAGCCACAAGGACATCGCTGCCCGCCACACTGGGTCATCCATATTCCCATGGCAACAGCAAGATCAGGTCCACAGGGGCCAGGATGTGATGGAAACGCCGCTAAAGAGACGCGGTGCTTCTCTGTGGGACGCCCACGAGGAGACGCCGATCAAACCCAACCAGCGGATGAGTTCGTCCAGACCCGTCCAGAGTCCCAGCGGATCGACCCAGCAGACGGAGCAGCTGAAGAGCCTCAACCAGGGTGGACTTTCATGGATTTCATAGTCAACTAGTTTGATATGCTATACATCAGAAACACCCTGTAAACCTGTTTGGGCTTGTTTTCCAACAATCAGAGCTGCGTGGACGTGTGTCAGAGCTGGAGAGGAATCTGGCCGCTCAGGAAAAGGAAATTCGTAGCCAAACATCAAAGCTGCAAGAACTCCAAACTCACTTGAACCAAACCCGCAAAGAGCTGGCGGAGCGGGACAGGGAGCTGGCCAAGGCCGGCCAGGAGCTGGGCCAGGCTGCAGACCGCCAGCAGCAGCTGGAGGCAAAGGTACCGCGGGTTTGTTTCTGTTTGGTGACATCATCTACGGGAACAGGTGCTAAATGATCTCTGTTGTGTTAGTGCTCCTTGGTGGAGCAGAAGCTGAAGCAGGTCTCTGAGGAGATGAGCTGCCAGAGGCACAACGCTGAAAGCTGCAGACGAGCTCTGGAGCAGAAACTCAAAGATCAAGAGAGAAACAGTCAGAAGGTAAAACAACGTCTTGTTGTGTTAAGATGCCGGGTCAGTCCTGGAAAACGCTCAAATTTCAATTTGTTATTGATTTATGCGTAAAATCCTTGAAAGTGGTTGATATCCAAATCGCTCATTTTTGCAATAATTATAATTTGATTAAATGCCTAAATGTGAAAAACAATATTTACAGTTAAAACGACGTGACCGGTTCTCTGAATCCCGGATGACCGCCAGATGTTCTCACTCTGACTCCTGAGGAACTGAGCCTCGGATGACGTCATGCCACATGACCTGTGATTGGCCATCCCCGGCTCCTGTACTGTCAGATCCTCATAGGCTTAGCACGAAGTGAATGCTATGCCTGTCAGACACGTATACAGTCACTAACATGTGATTTTATTTAATCAGAAGCACAGAATCATGACGTAGACCGTCGTACACTTTGCTATTAGCGGCTGTGTGACATCCTGACTTAGCGGTTAAGTAGGCTAATGAGTTTCAGGGCGTGTGTTGTTGTTCCCTGCAGCTAGCTCCTGCTTTAAATCCACTTTGAAACCACGTTAACGCATGTACATCTACCTAGTTATCAATGAAAACAATTTAATGACTTATTTTCGTCGTAACTTGTCGCGTGTGCCGTACTGACAGCTCCTCTAACGGTCGGACTTCTTAATGCGCATGCGCGAGCATGCGCACTCTCGCTGCAAGTATGCGACGATCTGACAGAAAACAGTCAGTAGGGATGACGTAGAACCAGACGTTTTCATGCCTAATATAAAGACAGACGTTTTATTCCTCGCAGTTTGAAGTTAAATCATTCTACACTTTCCTTGTTTTAGGTCAGCTATAATTACCAAAATTATTTGTCTTTGCTGAATGACAGAAAACTTGGCAAGATAATTTTTTTAGACATTTTTTTTGTAACTTTCTTTGCGTGTTGTGTTTGAGGATTCAATTTTTGACTGCATTTTTTTCAATACTTGACATTTATTATTCCTATTGATCTTATATTTTAAACGTTACACAACATTATTGTGGTTTGTGTATTTTTTTTGTTAAATTAGTGTTTTGTTCTGGGATTATTCAGGTTTAGAAGAGTGTGTGAGATATTCCAAAACATAAAATATTATATTTTAGATAGAATGTAGAATACTATCACAAGATATTAATAATAACAGTAATAAAATATCTAACATAATAGTGAAACTGTCTTTTTTATTACATTTGTGTTGTTTTTAATCTCCAAAATTTGGTGCTAGAAAAGTTTGAAAACTCACCTTGAAAATGCTTGAAAGGTTTCACCTTGAAAATGCTTGAAAGGTTTTTGAATGTTGGTGGGAAAAGTGCATGAACTCTGGGAAGAACATTAAATTCTGACTTATTATTCAGATTATATTTTGTTTTTCGGTTGGTAGGAGTTGGCTCAGCTTCAGAGTTCCCATCAGGCTTTGGATCAGCAGCTCAACCAGACCAGAACCAAGCTGACACAGGAGGTCCAGCAGGCCAAAAAAGACCACAATGTTCTTCAAGCGGAAATGGAGAAGGTAGCGTCTCGCTTCTGCGTTTTGCTGAGCGAAGCAAAACTGGTACAGCTTCGGCTGTTTCACTGGGTTTTTGTGGAAACTTGCTGCGTTTTAGATGCGCTTGCAGAAGAGTCAGATGGAGAGAGAAATGGAGGAGCAGAAGCAGAAGCTGCTGCGGTCCGAGCAAGTTCTGCAGGCGACTCAGACCAAAGAGCAAGACCTCCACAAAAAGATGGAGGTACACACAAACTCGTAAATTCCTGTCTATAACTTTCTGTTTGGGCAAGATGATTTACCTATTTTCAAAATGTCCTGTTCCCGTCAGGAACTGCAGAAGGAGAAGAACAATGTGACCATCCAGTTGGACCGCAGCAGCAGGTCTCTGACTCAGCTGGAAGAGGAGAAGAGGATCTCAGAGCAGTCGCTGAAACGGACCCAGGGGCTCCTGGAGGATCTGAAAGGTACAGAAACAACAGGAATAAATATTAATGTGTCCAACTCGCGTCTTCTCACTGGTTTTCTTTTTCGCACTTCAGCGAAATCTGAAGGACAGGCTGAGGAGCTGAAGAGACTCCAGTCAAAACTTGAGCAACAGACTCAGGCGGCAGCGAAAGAGCTGGAACACGTGAAGAAGACGCTTTCTGACGCAGAGGCCAGAAACGACAAGTAAACATCGGCCATCTTCCTCTTTGTTCTTCATCAGTGCCTCTGATATTAACGCTGCACCGTCAGTTGCAGTGATGTTGGCTCTTCAGTTTTGTTGGACTAAAATATTAGGCTGCAACTATCAATTATTTTAGTAATTCTGACAAATAATCAAATTTAAAAAAGTGGCATATTTTTCAGATTTTTCACTTGACCACCTTGGCCATTTTCACTCAAAATTATAAACACATTAAATATTGACAGAAATAATACAGTCCTGTTTTTGATTAATAAAATAAACATTTTATTGCCTAAAATGCTAAAACTTGGCTTTCCTTTAGAGAACTGGGTGAAGTTAAAACTGAGCCAGTTAAGCAATTAGAACAAACATTACAAACCAACAAAATAGTATGAAATAACCAGATGAGGGAACAAATAACAGTAACAGAAATAAAATAAACACAAAAAGAACAAAGACAAAACACAGAACATGTTTAATAAAAAAATAATAAATAAAAATGATTTTTAAAAATTAAGTGTGCTTTTAAAATTACTTACCTGCTTTGGAAACCGATGGACTAGTTGTTTTTAATACTCTACAGTTGATAATTTATCACTAAATTGTATTTTGACTGTAATCGAGCCTTTTGCCCGTCCTGTCGCAGTTTTGTCATGTGCATTCAGTCCATTACAACGGATGTTTCTTTGCAGATCTCAGAATGAGCTTCAAAAGCAAAAGCAGGAGGGTGAGAAGCTGAGCAACAAGCTGACGGTCGTAGAGGAGGAGAACGAAGAGCTGAAATCAAACCTCCGTCAGAGTCGGGACGAGTGCCAGGCGGTGAAACAGGAGCACCAGGCTCTGCTGGAGTGGAAGAAAAACAAGGAGAACCTGATAAACCAAACCGAGGCCGTGCAGCAGGAGCTCACCGACAAGATCATCACTTTGGAGGGCAAAGCGAGTCGGCTGGACGAGGCCAGCAATGAACTCCAGGTGAGTTTCACCAGTATGCAACCTGCTGCTTTTCAGGAGGAAATTAAACGCGCAGGTTTCATACTGCAGGACAAGATCTCATCCATGGAGGCAGACAAAGCCAGTCTGTCCGCCCACATCGACGCCCTGAAGGGAGAACTCCTCATGAGGAGCACGGAGCTGGAGGAGAAGGAGCATCAGTACCAGCAGCTTCAGCTCCACGTCTCTGAAGCGGCACAGAAACACGGCAAAGACCTGGAGAACGCCGGGAAGCAGCTGGCGCAGCTCCAAGGACAGGTGAGTCCAACACTCTGGTTCCGCCTCAAAACGCCTTCGATCTGTCCTCCTTTAGGAGCAACGGGGTTCATAAAGGCGCCAAAATGCTTTATGAACCCTGAGACGTTTATAAAGCATTACAACCTCGCCTTTAATTAAAAGCGTAAGTTTGGAACCGGATATTTTTGTACACGGAATAAAAAGATAGAGATGTATTTTTTAATCGCTGTCTGACGTCAAATCAAACTGAACTTTTCTTGTTTTAGGTCTGTTAAAATTAGGAAAATTATTTCTATTTCTTAAATGCCAGAAAACTTATGAAGAACCTTTTTTTTTAGAGATTTTCTTTGTATTTTGTCTTTAATAATTTAATTTGAGCAGGAAGGGAATTTAACATGACTTGTTTGGATTGATTCATTTTAGTAAATATTTATTATTCCTAATGGCTCAATGACTTAATGACCTGTGTAGCTGCAATAAATGTTGTCTTACATTTTATATGTTAAAGGTTATTGTTTTGTTCTCAGTCAGATTTATAGAGTGTGTGAGAAATATTTCAAAAACATAAAAATAAAAGCTATATTTTATTTTACCATGTTCCTGCTGTAGAATACTGTTATTAATAATAAATTATTAATAACAGTAATAAATAACATAATAGGGTATTGAAACTTTCTTCTTTAGTTAATTTGTGTTGTTTTTATCTCCAAAGTGCTGCTGGAAAAGTTTGAAAACTTACCTTGATTAGGCCGGTCACAATAAATCACTTAAATTAAAGCAAACTCAATCATTTCTATTTACATAATTTATTGTTTTTCTCTTCCTACCAGAAACTGGATGACAAAATTATTCAGTCTGGTGTTCAGAGACGTCATCATTCGTTATTTTTAATTTTATTTTTTGTTTTTCGTTTTGGATATTCAAAATGTCTTCCAGTTCCAGTGTCAAATTTAAAGTTTATTTATATTTGAGAATATGTTCTTGTTTCATGAAGCAATTTCATAATATGACTTGAAAATGGTCTCAAAAACAACAATATTATTGTTTATTACAATCAATTTTGTCCAGCAACATTTGTTATCTTGACTGACCAAACATTGATGCTTGAAAAGTAAAACAAACGACTGAAAAGTGTTTAATTTTACCCTGAGGAAAATGTACAAACCCTGTACGCAAGAAGAGATTTTAGCAGCAGAAACATTTAGGATTTGAGAACCGGATGTGACTCTCCTTTAAGCTCGTTGCCCTGAGGTAGTGTAATGAAGAGGCCTTCATTACTGAATTAATTTATTCAATGTATTGTATAGCACTGTAAAAACATTTGCACTTTCTCACTATGCACTTTATTTAGCACTGCACTTTTAAAGTAGATCTATAAATTAATAACATTTTGCACTCAGGAAGTTTTAATTGTATTTATTGAGTATTTTAGGTATTGGTGTGTAGCCTTTGTTCTGGGCTCTGCACAGCTGCTCCTCATTGGCCAGTGGAGGTGGTTAACTGTGAAGAGAGGAGAATTGATACTCAGAGCAATGAGCTATGGGTGGATAAAACTAAGTAAATGATGTGCATAATTTATTAGGTATGGAATGTGCTAATATAGTGACTCACCTGTCTTTTTATGTGTCCTCTCAGGATGTTTGGACAAATATTGTCCTAAGGGGCTGGACAATGATATAGGTCCTGGGAGAGACCATTGAGAAGAATGGGAGAGGGGTGTATTGTTTTATGGTGTACTGTTTTATGGTGTTTTAGTAAGGGTAAGGATAAAACATAAAAAATATTTATAAAAAGGAAGTTGATGTGGTTGTAGTTAAATGTTTTTTTCAATTAAGGGGAACAGGGTAAGATGGGATTATCTTATGAATTTTCAGATTGTTTTAACTGTCACAGCTGGGACTATTTAAGATTGCAATTTTCACCTGTGAGACAGATATTGAGACATTGAGATGTTTGTAAGACGAAGAGTGTGACATTGTTTGTGATGCTGGGAGGAATAAACCTGCGGTTCCACCTAAACTCTGCTTGATATCATCAATCTGCACTGAAAAATCCAGCCGTAAAAGGCCAACCTGTTACAAGTGGTGTCAGAAGTGCGTCTATTCATGCCACAGTGCAAAGATGATGACCAGAGGTGGTAAAAAGCCAGGCTAAGAGGGAGAGCCTGATGAAGCAGCTGGAGCTTCCTCTGAAATGGAAACCATGGCAGCGACCAACCCTGAAGATAAGTTGGAGGAACTGGCGGTGTTGGTGAAATCCATTATGCGGTCTCAGGTGGCTAGAGACATGAAGATGGATAAAGATTTTTCCCGCCAGGAGCAGAGGTGGAAAAGTATGCAGCATCAGTTTCAACAAATGCAGCTGCAAGTGAATGCGGTACTGGAAAAACAGGATGAGTCAGACACACAGGATCAACCTTCAACATCTGAAGCACCTGCAGAAGAATCAGATGGTAGTGATGTTCAGGTGGCTCATGGTTCCAGGTCCATAATTGAACCAAAATTTCTTCCCTTATCGACGGATGACGACATTGAGCATTTTCTGACGACGTTCGAGAGGATGGCCCAGGTGTGTCGTTGGTCCAGAGATGAGTGGGCGATTCGTCTGGTCCCTCTGTTGACCGGAAAGGCCCGCACAGCCTATGTTCTAATGGATATTGCTGACTCTCAGAACTATGATAAACTGAAAGAGGCAATTCTGGCAAAATATGAAATTACTGCTGATACTTATCGACGCCGCTTCAGATGCCTAAAGATTGAATCAGGTGAGACGCCGCGTGAACTTTATGTTCGACTGAAAGACTTGTTTTCAAGATGGATCAAACCTGATAAATCTACTGTGCAAGAAATATCTGAGCAGATAATTCTGGAGCAATTTTTAAGGATGGTTAATCCAGAATTGGAGGTCTGGATACGTGAGCGTGACCCGAAGACAGCAGAAGAAGCAGCTACGCTTGCAGAAGTCTTCAGATCAGCCAGGAGGGGGAGCTGGAGCACCTATGCTGGCCAAGAGACTCATTATGCCCAACCAAGTAAGTCCACTGGGGGTGAACAGGGCTCTGGTCTAAGTCAGGCTAGAAATGGTTCTAGTTTTAAGCAGTTCCCTTCCCATCGACCTGCTAAGGTTAAAAAGTCATTTCATAAGTCGTCAGGTCAGGATATTAGATGTTACAACTGTAATGGTTTTGGCCATACGCAACATTTTTGTCCCGCCCTAAAATCAAAGCCATCACTGATGTGTTCAATTCCAAGAGCGGCTACTGAAGTTGAAAAAAGAAAAGCTTGTACGGCTTCGGTGCTAGTTAATGGGAAGAAAGAAGAAGCATTGCTTGATTCTGGGTGTTTTCAGTCTTTAGTACATGCAAGCTTAATCCCAGATGAAAAGTTAAGTGAGGTGGGGGTTAAAATAAGCTGTATACATGGAGATGAGCATGTCTACCCTAGTGCAGAGGTGTATTTGACAGTGGGAGGTCAAACATACCTGGTACAAGTAGCTGTAGTTCCCTCTTTGCCATATTCAGTTATACTTGGTAATGATATTCCCACTCTCTTAGACCTTCTTCATCAGTCGGATTATGAGCCTCAAGTACTTACCAACAGAGATGCCCCAGGTCCATGTTTCAAATCCGATGTACCAGAAATATTGAAACCATGTAATGTAGTCACAAGAGCTCAAAGTTCAAAGGCGATGTTGGAAGAACTCCCTTATTTTGGAGAGTCTCTGGAAACAGAGCAGGGAAAAACTAAAAAGTCAAAAGCTCAGAAAAGAAAAGAGAAGTTCAAAGGCTCAAATAATGAAGGAATAGAACAGCTGTCTAAGCCAAATAATATGTTTGAGTTTGACATTCCCTCAGATTTAGGTGCACTCCAGAGAGATGATCCTACTCTAAAACCTTGGTTTGAGAAAGCAACTAGGGAGGAGGAAACTCATCAGCGCCAGGTAGACTTCCGTGAAGATGCAGTTTACATTACTAAAGGAGGTATTTTGTATCAGAAGAAAGGACATTGTGAAGCATTAGCTCTTCCACAACAGTTTAGACACAAAGTTATGGAATTGGGTCATTCAATTCCGTGGGCAGGTCATATGGCTTTTTACAAAACACTGAACAGAATCAGTAGTCGTTTTGTTTGGCCAGGAATGTATACCCAGATTTCAAAATTTTGTAGTTCCTGTGAAAAATGTCAGTTGACTTCAGGCAAAGGAGTAGCAAGAGCCCAGCTACAACCGCTGCCCATTATTGACACTCCTTTTGAAAGGCTAGGCATGGATATTGTGGGCCCATTAGAAAGAAGCACTACAGGTCACCGTTACATATTGGTGATATGCGACTATGCTACACGGTATCCTGAAGCTTTTCCTCTTAGATCCATTAAGGCCCGACATGTTGCTAATTGTCTCCTGCAGCTCTTTTCTAGAGTAGGAATACCCCGAGAAATTCTCACAGATTGTGGGACAAACTTTTTGTCCAAACTGTTGCAGCAGGTTTACAAATTACTAGGGATTAAGGGACTTAAGACCACCCCTTACCACCCCCAAACGGACGGGCTAGTGGAGAGATACAATCAGACTCTTAAAAACATGCTACGCAAGTTTGTCTCCGACACGGGTGTCGACTGGGACCAGTGGCTGCCGTATCTGTTATTTGCTTACAGGGAGGTTCCACAAGTCTCCACAGGTTTTTCACCTTTTGAATTATTGTATGGACGTCAAGTGAGAGGTCCGCTGGATCTACTGAGAGACTGCTGGGAAGATGCGAAACCTGAGGGTGAAAACATTGCAGCATATGTCATTAACATGAGAGAGCGATTGCAGGAAATGACATCTTTTGCACAGGACAACATGAAAGCAGCTCAACAACATCAAAAGACATGGTACGATCAGAAGGCCAGAGACAGAGTCTTTTTGCCAGGACAGAAGGTTCTGTTACTGCTGCCTACCAGTGACAACAAGCTGCTGACAAAATGGCATGGACCATATGAGATCACCAAACAAGTGAGTAAAGTGGTTTATGAACTGTATATGCCGGAACGGATAAAGAAGCATCAAGCCTTTCATGTTAACTTGTTGAAGGAGTTCCACAGTCACCAAGAACCTGTGCATCAGGAGTTATTTGTGAGAGCGGTTGAGGATGAGGAGGTGACTGAAAAATTCTTTCCTACCAACATGTCTGACTGTGCTCTGGTTGATATTTCTCATCTGTCTCCAACTGAGCAGGAAGAAATCAAACCTCTCTTGGACCCTCAGCTCTTCAGAGAAGTTCCAGGATTTACATCACTGGTTAAACACAGGATTCAGTTGAAACAAGATGCACCGAGTCGTCAAAAGAGTTATCGCATTCCAGAGCGATTGGTTCCAGTGCTGGAAAAAGAAATAAAGTGGATGATGGATTTGGGTATCATTGAAGAGTCTAGTAGTGAGTGGTGCAGCCCAATTGTGCTGGTACCAAAGAAAGATGGATCTCTGAGATTTTGCATAGATTTCAGATATTTAAATGGTGTCTCTAACTTTGATCCATACCCAATGCCTAGAGTGGACGATCTACTGGAGAAAGTCGGTTCAGCAAGCTACATCACAACGTTGGATTTGTGTAAAGGCTACTGGCAAGTGGCTTTGGCACAAGAGGCAAGAGAACTGACGGCCTTCAAAACGCCTTTTGGTATGTACCAATTTAAAGTCATGCCATTTGGGCTCCAGGGGGCGCCAGCGACGTTTCAACGTTTAATGGATCAAGTGTTGAGAGATGTGTCAGAGTTTTCTGCAGCATATTTGGATGATGTTGTAGTGTATAGCCGGACATGGGAGGAGCATCTGATTCATCTGAAGGAGGTGCTATACCGCATCAGGCGGGCCGGACTGACAGTGAACCCACAGAAGTGTAAGGTTGCACAAAGAGAAGTGGAGTACTTAGGTTTTGTTATTGGGTTTGGAAAAATAAAGCCACAAGTGGGGAAGATGGAGGCAATCCAGTCCTTTCCAGTTCCATCTACAAAGAAGAAGGTGAGAGGATTTCTGGGTTTGGTGGGCTGGTACCGGAAATTCATACCTTTGTTTGCAGAACGATCAGCTGTGCTGACGCAGCTAACAAGGAATGCAGCCCCCAACAAAGTGTGTTGGACAGAAGACTGTGAGAAGGCATTCAACGATCTCAAACAAGCAGTATGTACTCATCCAGTTTTACACACACCAGACTTTGCTAAACCATTCATCTTACAGACAGACGCCTCAGGAGTAGGGCTTGGAGCTGTCCTGCAACAAGAGGTGGACGGTGAGAGAAGACCCGTGGTGTTTCTGAGTCGGAAGCTGCTTGACCGAGAGACGAGATATTCGACAGTGGAAAAAGAGTGCTTGGCCATGAAGTGGGCTATTGAGGCTCTCAGGTATTATCTGTTAGGACGTCACTTCATCCTGGAGACTGACCATCGTGCTCTTCAGTGGTTGAGACGGATGAGGGATGCCAACGCTCGCATCGCTGGATGGTACTTGGCACTGCAGCCATTTGACTTTACAGTTCAGTACAAGCCAGGAAAGTCGAATGTGGTTGCTGACTGTTTATCCAGAGTCTCAGAGGACTGAGATACTGAGCTCTGAAAAGAGGAGGGAGGAAATGTAATGAAGAGGCCTTCATTACTGAATTAATTTATTCAATGTATTGTATAGCACTGTAAAAACATTTGCACTTTCTCACTATGCACTTTATTTAGCACTGCACTTTTAAAGTAGATCTATAAATTAATAACATTTTGCACTCAGGAAGTTTTAATTGTATTTATTGAGTATTTTAGGTATTGGTGTGTAGCCTTTGTTCTGGGCTCTGCACAGCTGCTCCTCATTGGCCAGTGGAGGTGGTTAACTGTGAAGAGAGGAGAATTGATACTCAGAGCAATGAGCTATGGGTGGATAAAACTAAGTAAATGATGTGCATAATTTATTAGGTATGGAATGTGCTAATATAGTGACTCACCTGTCTTTTTATGTGTCCTCTCAGGATGTTTGGACAAATATTGTCCTAAGGGGCTGGACAATGATATAGGTCCTGGAGAGACCATTGAGAAGAATGGGAGAGGGGTGTATTGTTTTATGGTGTACTGTTTTATGGTGTTTTAGTAAGGGTAAGGATAAAACATAAAAATATTTATAAAAAGGAAGTTGATGTGGTTGTAGTTAAATGTTTTTATTCAATTAAGGGGAACAGGGTAAGATGGGATTATCTTATGAATTTTCAGATTGTTTTAACTGTCACAGCTGGGACTATTTAAGATTGCAATTTTCACCTGTGAGACAGATATTGAGACATTGAGATGTTTGTAAGACGAAGAGTGTGACATTGTTTGTGATGCTGGGAGGAATAAACCTGCGGTTCCACCTAAACTCTGCTTGATATCATCAATCTGCACTGAAAAATCCAGCCGTAAAAGGCCAACCTGTTACAGGTAGTAGGAAACGTTTTCCTCTTTTCTTTTAAACAGGTGAAAGATCTGGAGTCCCGGCTGCAGAAGGAGACGTCTCGAGCCGAGTTGGCTGAAAAGAGCAGCTGCGAGCTGAAGGAGGAGCATCAGGCCGCCTGCGACCTGCTGCGCTCCAAAGACCAGCTGCTGGAGCTGGGCCTGGCCGAGGTCAGCCAGCTGAAGGGCAGCCTCGCTCAGGCCGCCGCACAGCAGGAGGCGCAGAGCGACAGGTTGGACACGGACTCTCTGGAAGCTTCAAATCTTCTGTTTCTATGTGCTGGAAGCTCAATGAGTTTGAATTTTCACTAACACAGATAAACTTCTACTGCTGTAATGAGGCAGAGGAATAAATGATCTGTCCTCATTGAGGCATTTACTGAAATGATTAGTCGTGATGAATCGATTATTAATGAACTCATCAATTAATTTAGTGCTCAATTAACTGGAGCATATGAACTCAAAACACACAGAGCAGAAATTAAGCCAAAACTGTAGAAAAATAAAAAATCTATGCATTTAAGATAAAAAAAATTCATTTTCCTAAAAAAATATAATAATAATAATTTGTTTATTTGCACCTTTTAATTGAATCTCTAAAACTTAAATTAAACCTCTGCTGAATTTTTTAAGTGTTTGTCAAAACAATCAACAGAATTATCAGTTACTTTGGTAATTATCAGCTGCAGCCCTGGTTGGAGCTGAGCCACCATTCAGATGCATTTGGTTCGTGTTTCTCCAGCTTTGTGAAGCAGAAGGCCGTCCTGCTGAAGCAGTGTGAGGAGAGCGTTTCGGTGCAGGCCGAGGAGACGGAGCGCGTCAAGCTGCAGGCAGAGGAAGTCCAGCAGGAGCTGCAGCTCTCCAAAAACAAAGTATTTTATTTAGAGCTTGTAAAAAACACTCATCTCACCAGATATTTCTAAGCAGAAATTACAATTATATTGCTTTATAAATTCTGAATATACTTTTATTTTTTTGTCCAACATTGATAGATTTGTAAAGTTGCAAACTATTATTTTAGTAGTTCACACAGTGTCTAAATATGTATGAATCCCTCTGACTTTTTTTTTTTTTTTTTTTTTTTTTTTTTTTCATTTGGGGTCTAGCACCTAAACCCCAAATAAAATCCATAAGAGTAACTTCTAAACTAGTTTTTTCACCCCGTTTCAGATCACCTCCCTGGAGCAGATCCTGAAGATCCAGGAGCAGCTGGGAGCCGAGCTGCAGAAACAAATCAAGACGCTGTCCGATAAGGAGGAGGAGCTCACGAAGACGTGCGAGGAGAAATCAGAGGAGCTGAAACGCTTGGAGGAGGAGCTGAAGGACCAGCGGAGCCGCACCGAGGAGACGGAGCAGCAGCTGAGAGCGGCTGAGGCTCAGATCCACTACATGAAAAATCAAACAGCCGAGCTGGAAAATCAACTTCAAGAGATGAAGAAAGAAACAGAGGTAAGAAAAAGAAAAAAAAGCTGCATAATCTTTTTTTTCTGGTTTCCAGGTGTTTTTCTTTGAGATTACGATCGGCTTGTCGCAATACGCAAAAATGAATTTAATCCCACAATAAATTAAAACAAACTCAATAATTTCTCTTTATATGATTTATCCAACAAAAACTGGATGACAAAAATCTTCAATCTGATGCTTTAGTCTGAACTAGTCACTTTATTTTGAAGAATTATTTGATTTATAGAGACTTCGGTATCCATTTTATTCAATGTTTTGCTTAATTATTTTGGATATTTAAAATGTCAGTGTTAAATTCACCAGAATTTAAAGTTTATTGGATGAATGTGAGAATGTGTCATTGTGCTGCTACCACGATATTTGGAAATGGTCTTAAAACAACAATATTATCGTTTATCACAATGATCGTCCAGCACAATTTGTTATTGTGACAGGGCTATATCCACATTTTCTTCTTGTTGTTGAGACTTAAATTGTGCATCTTTGTTCAGATCCTGCAGTTCAGTCACACTGAAAGGATAAACGCTCTCCAGGAACAGATTGCATGTCTGGAGAAGCAAGTTGCTGCAAACCAGGAAGCAGCAGAGGAGCTTCCTGTCCTGAAAAACAAACTGGACGTGGTCAACCAGTCTCTTGCTCACCTTAACAAATCTCTTGAAGCTTCAGAGAAGAGCCTCAGCTGTGCAAATGAAAAAAAAGCTGATCTGGAGGTCACCTTGTCTGAGAAAGTGAAACTTGTCTCTGCTTTGGAGGATCAGATCAATAACCTCACTGAGAAGCTGAGGAAAGAGTCTGAGAGCCACAGCTCAGAGGTTGAGGACTTTGTCAATAAGGAGAGGAGCCTCAAAGAGCAGCTGGAAGCCACTAAGAAATCAGTGGCTGCAGCCAAAGGAGAGTCGAGCTCGAGACGGGAGGAGATCCGAACCATGAAGACGACCCTGACTGCAGCGTCCCGCGGCCTGGAAGAAAGAGACAACACGATAAAAAGTCTGAAAGAGAAGCTGAACAAAGCAGAGGCAGAGCAGGCCAAAGCCTCTGAGCTCCTGAAGGAGAAGACGGAGGCCATGAACAAAATCAAGGTTAGTTATTAAGGTCTTCACATCCAGAGTGGCTTAAAAATCAAGCCCTGGTTCTTCAATATGTTTTCTTTTTAAAGTAGTATTGTGTAATGTGACTTGCCTCTTTTGTTGTTCCAATAAATTATTAAAATGTCTAAGATCAATGAGTTGATATAAAGATGATTGATCTTATGGATTAATTGATTAGTGGCCATTTTCTCTTACATCAAGAGGGTTGATGTAAGAGAACTACAACAATAAAAGAAGGTCTAACATTGAGTTAATAGATTCGAATTGACCTAAATGTAATAAACTATTAATTGTGACAAATGAATTAATGGTTAATCAAAGATCAATGGTTTACATTTACTAGTTTGAATGTAAACTGTTGCTTTCATAGTATGTATCTGTTGACTAAAGGTGCAGCTGGAGATGCTGCAGATGGACCTGGAGGACAACGAGTCGGCCATGACCTCCGTGGACAGTCAGGTGGAGGAGCTGAAGGGAATCATAGCGTCACTGGAGGCCAGGCTGGAGGACAGCAAAGCCCAGGTTGGTTTACGTTTGGTTTTATTACTTTTCAGCAGTTTTCCAGAAATGAATAGTCCAGGTTCTGAAAGGACTGACTTCAGCTGCGGTCCACACCGTCTGAAATGCCGTCAAACTCTTTTGTTTGTTTTGTTGTTTTCTATCAGATTCTTTAGCAATAGCCTTTTGTGGATCGTCATTGTCAATGACTGTCAAGTCAGCAGTCGCCCCTGTGATTTTGTTGGCCATAACATTTGTGTCCCTTTGTTTAATATTTGAATTTTATGTAAAATTATATTTTGAGATTTCAAAAACTGCAAAGCATGGAACTTTAATCATCAAAAAACATGCTTAAATATATTCCTCTGAGTGTAAAGGACGCATATTGAAGATTATTTTAGAATTACTGAAGTAAATTAACTTTCTATAATCATATGAATTGTTTAGGATTAATCATAATCAATTTGAACTTGATTAGTCATGGACACTCACTTAGGCTCTTTTTTTTAGATATCCACATAGTCAGAGCAAAAATTAAGAAAAAACTGTATGCTATGTAATATTTTATTTTAAAAAAAATCTGTAAATATGTTTCACTCAGAACTCCTGAAAAGGCAGTTTTAGCCTCATCTGGTTCAAATTCTCATATTTATCACCTTTTTCTTTCAAATTCACATTTGGTTCATCCAAAAAATAAAATCAATCAATCAAATGTTGATGTTTGAAGTATTTTTAAGCTGCAGATGGTCAACCTTGTGCTAAAGGAATGCTATTTTGTGGCATTTTAGGCAATAAAATGTTTACTGGTACTTTCTGATTCAAAAAAGAATTTTAATTGAATATTTGAATATTTTAATGTATTTCCATTATAAAAGGCTTGAAGGAAAAATCTTCAGAATGTGGCTGATTTTTATCCAATTAACAGTCGGTCCTGATTTATTGAGATGTAACAGTATATCTAAATAAAGCTTTCCCATGTTTCCTCCCAGGTTTCTGTCTTGGAGACGCGTTTGGATGAGGTTCAGTCCCAAAACTCTCTGCTGGAGACAAAATACGTGACGGCGAAGGATGAGCTGCTGGAGCGGAGCTGCGAGATAACCCGTCTGGAGGAGGAGGCTGTGAGGCGGCAGCAGCTAGAGGAGAGCTTCTCTGCCTTGGAGGCCAAACTGAGTCAGATTGTTGAGGAAAACTCAAAAGCAGAGATGGTACTGAAGCAGATCATTCAGGAGAAACAGAGCCGTTTGGATCAGCTAAACGAGGAGAAAAACAGCCTCCAGGCTTCCTTAACGCTGCTACTGGATGAGCAGAAACAAGCCGAGTCTGAAATCACCCAGGTGAAAGCGGGGAAGGAAGAGCTGGAGGAGAGAATGAGCAACCTGTTGAAGGAGATTCAGCAACTCCATGCTGATGTTAGAGAGTTATCTGAGCAGAAACAGGAAGCGGAGGCAATGATTGAGCAGATGGCTGCAGAAACACAACAGACAGAGTCGGCGCTCCGTCGGGTCTCGGAGGAGAAAGCCCAGCTGAGCGTCGCTCTGAGTTCTGTGAGCGAGGAAAACGTTGAGCTGCAGGAGAGGATTTCCACTCTGACCTCCGAGGTCGGGGAGCTGGTCTGCAAAGTGAAGCAGGTGGAGGAGGAGAAACTCCAGGTGGAGTCTAAGTTTAGTCAAATCTCTGAGGAAAACATCAAGCTGCAGTCAGACATGAACCGTCTGACTGCAGAGAAGCAGCAGCTGCAAACCAGCACAGAGAGGCTGCAGGAGGAGATGGCGTCTCTGCGGGAGGAGAGCGAGCGTGTCCAGCAGACGCTGCAGGAGCAGCTCAACACGGAGACCAACCACACGGAGAGCAGAGCGCAGTACGTCTGTTTCATGTTTCCATGACGCACCAATCAGGTCTAACTGCTGCTGGGCGATGCATCGATTTTATCGATAGATCAAACTTTTCAGTTTTGAAGATTTACTTTAATGAAAATCAGGATTTTTTTTCCCTTTTTACCATTGTGCTCCTTTGCTGCCATGGCCGCCATCTTGTTTGACAAGTGTGTTTTACAGCTTCTATGTGGCGTTTGAATTCAGGTCAACTCAGAGAAGAGATGATTGAAATAATTGATCGTTTTTGGAAATGCAGCTCTGAAAGAAATTAAGATTGAGAGCACTGCATTGAAAAGCTCCTGGTTATTCCAACCTGTATTGATTTCTGAACTCTTCCTGAGTTAAAACATCAGTATTGTTGCTTCTAAATGAACATAAACTTGTTTTCTTTGCATTATTTGAGGTCTGAAAGCCATGCATTTTGACCATTTCTCATTTTCTAAATACTAAATATTTGCTTGGATTTCAGAAACATGTTGTCAGTAGTTCATAGAATGAAACAAAATGTTCATTTTACTCTAACATGCATCTATAAAGAGCAAAATCAGAGAACTGGTCATTTTAAGACGTCTATTAATTTATAGTACAATGCATTATCAATGAGAAAATGGAGAAAATTGTTTGTGTGACAGGAACCAGCAGTTTGAGGCGGAGCAGACTGCACTCCACCAGAAGCTGTCCGTCCTCCAGACGGAGCTGGCTCTGCTGCAGCAGCAGTACGATCTGCTGCTGCAGCAAGTGGGCCAGCAGCAGCGCATCATTCAGCAGCTCACAGAATCACACAAACACCAGAATCCAGCTGGAAACGTCCCCCGCCAAGAGCCCAGAGACGCTGAGGATGGCGGTGAGTGCGTGGACGGGTTCATTTAAATGTGAAATGTTGAAGCATTTATTCCTAACCACCTGCTGTGGTTCGTCCAGCAGAGGCAGCTGAACAGACCGAACCAAACCCAGAACTTGGTGTGAGCGTCGGTACCAGCGCAGAGTCAGATGCATTGAAGGAACAGGAAGAGGCGTCTGGAAGGAGCCCTGATCAGGCTGCGAGGTACAGAGTTTCTAGCACACACCACTGTAATGTGTTTCTTCCCCTGTATTTACAAGAGAAAACGTCTCTTTCCTTCGACAGTGAGGCAGAGCTGATCGTTAGGGAGGACGCCTCTGATCAGGAGATGATCAATGAGGAGGAGGCTCATAAACATGATGCTCAGGACATCCAACCTCACCAGCAGGTAGAAAACCAAATGCATAAGAAATATTGCTGAACCTTTTCATAGCTGTGAGTCTTCAGGTTTTAATTCTATGTTTTTTTTTTTTTTTTCAAAAGGTCCATGAGGAGAACTGCAGCAGTAGTGGAGATCTTGAAAATGAGAACTATGATGCATTTTCCTCCCAACATGAGATAAGAGGCATGAAATTCTCCGGTGAGTGATTAGCGGTCATAACATTGTTTTCTTTTCTTTTAACTGTTCACCAGTGGAATAGAATAGAATAGAAATGTCCTTTATTGTCCCAAAACTGTCTGTGCAACAGCAGCAAAGTGACTCACACAAAGATGGATACAAAAAACAAAATGGAAGATAAAAAGTGAACAGGAAGGGGAAAGTAGTTATAAAAATACTCCAGACTAGAGGAATGTGCATGTCTCTTTGGGTACTATTTGCAAAAACCTGAAACTCTGAATACAAATATAGATGTTCTATAAAAGCTTGAGAGAATTAGAAAAGATTAGTGAACAAACAGCAGCATGAAGACGCAGAGTTTCACTCTGGAAACTTGTTCAGTTCAGTGGCGCCAGTAGAGACGAGAGAATTATATTGACATTGTTGACACAGATATGGTCTTAAAAAATAGTTGAAAATTCAGTGAAATCCTAATTAAGGAACCAGCCAGTGGATCTTCACTCACAGTGTTCTGCAGAGCCGGCCCAAAGCGTCAGCAAACTAAGCAGCTGCAGTCACTGACATTTTAACCCGACCATAGATCTAAAAACATTCATTTTCTAAGAATGACACCGTTTTTAAATCTGATTTAATGGTTTCAGCATAAATAAATTACAAATCTTAAATTATTTTAAATTTAATTTTAAGATTTAAGAAGTTTACTCAGTAAAAGTGCAAAGAATAAATCTCTTATTTGTTTGTTGTGTTACCATAGCTACACTGCAAAAACACAAAATCCTACCAAGTATTTTCAGTCCAGTTTCCACTAAAAATATCTTGGTACACTTGAAATAAATCAAAACTAACTTACAAGTAACTTTTCAGAAAGAGATATGAGCTTAAGTCAATAATACTGACAAAAAATTACTTATTCCACTGGCAGATTATTTCACTTATTGCAAGACATTTTTCCCTTGTTAAAAATTAAATAATCTGCCAAAGGAAGGAGTTATTTTTTATGGATCTTATTCAGATTTCACTGAATCTGAATTAAAACGCTGTTGGTGGTGCTGATGATCTTAACAGGAAGAGGAGGGCCCCTAAACCAAATTCCGCTTTAAAGCCCCATAAAGTGTTGGTCACATTTAAAAGCAAAATTCTCTGACATGGACGGTGATATCTGGGATAAATTGGCCTAGTCAAAGACTTGAAAACCAATGTTGAACTGTCTGATGTCAGTGTTAATGAACTTGAGCTCTTGCCAACATCCACGTGTGTCCATCAGGAGACGAGTCTTGGCCGGTGAAAGACGTCGGCGTCGACACAGAAATGATCTCAAAACAGCAGAGTGAACTGCAGACGCTGAGGTCAGAGTTTGACCTGCTGACCTCTGAGCTGCAGCTGAGAGCAGAGCTGACCTCAGAGCTGGAAGTCCAAGTTCAGCAGCTGGAGGAGAAAGTTCAGGCTGCAGAGGAGCAGCTGAGCACCGCTTTGGAGGAGAAGAAGAGTCTTTCTGATCAGGTAGGAGGAAGAAACGATTCGATTTAAACTGGATTGTGACTTTAGGGATGGAGGCAAAGATCGTGTCTGGTCTGCTGTTCAGGTGACCGAGCTGCTGGAGGAGAGGGAGTCACTAGGTCTGCAGCTGGAAACGTCTAAATGTCAACTCACTGACGTCATGGAGATGCTGGAAGGACTTGAGATGGCCAAAGGTTTTTGTTTCGTCTTTCTAGCAAGCTTTAAAAAATATTAAAAGGGAACCTGTTATGCTGAATTCAAATTCAGTTCATGGCATTGAGGAGACGTTTGTTCTGGTTCTGCAGGCGGATGGGATGAGAAGTTCCTTCAGCAGGAAAGTGAGTTGAAGAGAGTCCGCTCTGAAAAAGCTAACCTGGAGCAGCACATCCTGGGAATGGAGTCTGAACTGGAGAGCCTGCAAGCAGAAAGCTGCAGGCTGACGGAGGAGCTGGAGACCCAGAGGAAAACTTGTTCAGGACGGGAACAACACATAGAAACTCTCCTCACGGAGGTCAGAGCCCTGATTTAAATAAATGCACCTGTCTGCATCAACAGATGTTTCAGTCGTCTGGTGTTTAGGTCCTTCCAGGTCTGGACAACCACAGAGAAAATGTTTTTGTCTCCAGATTTACTTTTATTACTTTATCACCCATTAGTCCGTCGTTCATATTTTCTCTTTGTCCAACATTTTATTGTCCGTCCACTTTTCATTTCTCTGTGATTACTTTTCCATCGTTTTTTCTAGTTGTCCATTTATTCACCATCCATTTTCTCCTTGCTCTGATCCACCTATTCATAATTTTCATTTTAATCCATTTGTCAGCTGGAAACACCCATCGATTCCAGGAGCTTCACTGATGATGGAGCCTTGTGTTGCTAATTATTGGCAGTGCAGGTTGGCTACTATCAGCAGCTTAAGGACGCCTCAATTTAGAGCTGCAAATAACAATCAGTCATTTTTTATTCTGCCAGTCCATTAACAGGACAAAAATGAGCAGATTCTGCTAAATTTTTATGTCTTTTTTTATATAGCATAAAAAGATACAAATTAAATCCTTGTTTAAATAAGAAAAACATTTTACTGCCTGAAATGCAACAACATAGCATTCCTATAGTAAATATTGATGATTTGTAGCAAATTAATCAGCTAAAAAATACTTAAATAATGTGAGAAGCTCGGCCATTTCTGCTTGACTTAACATCAATACAGGGTTATTTGTTATTGAAGGTTATTATGATGAAGGGATTAATTGTTGGAAAGCAAAAGATGTTTAATACAAGAGCTTCTTTTTTACAGAATATGAACCAGGTGATGCTATAAATGCCACTTGAGTTCTGGATAAATCACATTTACAAAAGAAGAGTTGCGTTTTTTTATTTTTTTTTACCTTAAATGTATTTATTTTTATAGTTTTGGCTCAATTACTGCTCTGATCAGGGTGTTTTTTAAAGTCTGTAATCCAGTTAATGATTAATCGATTACTAGACCAGTTGACGGATATTTCACCAATCGATTAATCGTCCGATTAATCGTTTCAGCCCTTCTTGAATTGTGAGCGTCCTGATCAGGTTTCCTGCGGTTAATCTTTCCCAGTGTTTGTTTTTCTCCAGACGACCCAGCTGAGAGCTGAACTCGTGTCGTGCTCTGAAGACCGAGATGAGTTGAGTCAGTCTGTAGGTCAGTGGAGAGACAAAGTTCACAGTTTGGAGAAGACAAACCTGGAAACCAGAAATTTAATCTCCATCCTGGAGGAAGACATCCGGGTCGGAAGGAAGGAGTACGAAGGTCTACAGAGCAGCATGGAGAGAGTGAAGGCAGAGAGGGAGCAGGTAATGAACACGTTTTAGGTAAATTTCTCTAAAGATTCACGTTAAAATCACAATTAAATAGAGATGTTTATTTAATTTACAAAATTCAATGAGCTGTTTGTATTTTTAGTTATTGTATCTGATTTCTGACTCTTTTCTTGCCAAGTTTGTGCAGCAGGTTGTGGTTCTGGAAGAGGCCATTTCTAAACACAACAGGGAGAAGGAGGGGCTGCTCAGCCACCTCCATGAGATGGAGGATCATCACACGTCCACCAACCAAAACACCGAGTCCATGGCCGGCAAAATCCAGGTGAGTTCAGAGCAAACCTTTCAGTCAGTGGGGAGAAAATCTGACATTCGTGCCTTTGCAGGTGTTTGAAAAGTGTTTGATTTCTGTATAAGATCGTTGAAATGCTTGATATTCAAAATGCACATAAGTTCATTAAATGTTTGATTAAAATCTTAAACATGGAAAACGTTATTTACATTTGAAACCAGATATTTCCACCTATATAACAAAAATACTCTTTTTTTTTTTTAGTTTTAGTAACTTTGCATATTGTGTTTAAGCATTTAATTTGACCATAAGATAATTTATTGGGATGTTTCAATATGATGAATATTTATTATTGCTATTCACTTATTGATCTGTGTAAATTAAAATAAATGTTATCTTATATTTTATATGTTAACCAGCATTATTGAAATTTGGGATTTTTTTTTTTTTTTTTTTTTGAGTTTTGTTTTGTTCAGTCCGGTGTTTAAGACGTGTGAGAGACATTTCAAAACATGAAATTGTGGCATATTTTAATTTACTTTATCCCTTCTGTTGAACCCATTAAGACATTAATAACAGTAATTATAATATCATATAACAATGAACTGAAACTATATTTTTACATTTATTGTAATAGTTTTTATCTCCCAAATGTGCTGGAACTTTTGTGTGGGGAAAGTGTCCAAACTTACTGGTTTGTTTGTTGTTTAGGCTTTGGAGGGAGAACTGTGTCGCCTCTCCCAGTCTCTGGAGTCGTCGCTGCTGGAGAAAGGAGAAATCGCGTCTCGGCTGAACTCCACTCAGGATGAAGTCCAGCAGATGAGGACGGGCATCGAGAAGCTCCAGGTCCGCATCGAGTCAGACGAGAGGAAGAAGAAGAACATGGGAGAGCTGCTCAAAGGTACCAATTAGTGTCTGCACAAAAACCCCGACCAGTTTGTGTTTTTGGTCTAAACGCGTCTCTGTGTGTCTGCAGCTGCTCAGAGAAAGTCTGACCTGCTGCAGGATCGCATCGATGCGCTGGAGCGAGAGAGAGACGAATTTGAGCAAAATCTAGAGGAGGCCGTGTTGCAGGTGCAAAGCTGTTTATGTTGAATATTTATTCATTTGTTTACATTTTGCCATAATAAACACAAACTTCACTGTGTTTTATCTGGAATTGATGAGACATAAAGCAGAGCTAAAAAAAACGATGCATAGTTAAATTTTTTTTTTCCATTTTTGTTCTCATTAGATTTAGTCAATATTTAAGTATAAACATGCATCTGATAAACTAATCACTCATCCACACTTTTTATATTTTTACTCAATAATGTTAAATTATTTTCCTTCCATGTCTTTATTCTTCACCCTTTTTGTGTTGGTTTGTCACATCAAGTCATAATAAAGTCAGTTTGCGGTTTTAACGTGGCAGGATGTGGACGCTGTTAAAAAGCTGGACTTTATCGTCTCTCACAGGCTGAAGCAGCAAAAGCTGAACTGGAAGAGGAGAGGTAAGGTAACAGAAACACTCCAGCACGTTTGTTTTCCCCTCTAGTGTTGAATCACAGCTGTTGTCGTTTACACAGAAATGGTGCATTTTGTTCTTTCTAAAAGGAGAAATCCATAGAGCAAAAATGAAGAAATGCTAATGTTCACCTGGACAGGTTGATTTAGGAAGTTGTTAAATGAAGAAAGGCCAGGATGAGAATTAATTACATCCATGTCTGATTATTTATTACTCGGATCTCATTAAAACCATTCAAGACTCCATCATCACTGAGTACAAATAAACTTACATATAAAGAAACTAAACAAATGTTTGCATAAAATATCTGATTTTTAAAGTTTAAAGAATTATATGACGGTGATGATACAGTTTGGATTTCTTGTAAAGGATATTTAAGACACTTTTATACAACGTGAACGTTTCTCCTGGTTGTTTTTTCACTCCGTTTATTATTTTAGGTGGAAGAAGAGAAGAAAGAGCTGAATGAGAAACTGACTGAGTTGTTCGTCGCTTTGGACGCTCTGAGATCTGAGAAAGCTCATTTAGAAAGAGAGCTGGACTTGAAAAATGAAGAGATAGAGGAGCTGAAGGCGGCTAAGGACAATCTGGAACAGGGTTTGGAGAGCAGAGGTGGACAGGAGAGAAGAAGAAGACAGACAGAGACAAAGGCTAGAGGAGCTGGAGAAATGGACGAGAGAGGAAGCAGAGAGACGAAGTGTGCAAGTTGGAGACCTTCAGGGTCAGCTGACTGAGTCGGAAAGGGAAAACAACGACCTTAGGACAGCTATTGAGACTTTAGGAGAAGAAATAAAGGATCTTAAAACACTTGCTCAAGGTAAAGAGGAAGAAATCCTCGCTTTGGAGAAGGACAAAGAAAATAAGGCAGAATCGATCTCATCAATCGTAGCAGAGAAGAAACGATTGGAGGAAAGAAATGAACAGCTAGAAAAGGAGAGAGACGACCTTCAGTCTATTCTGGTGTCTGTGAACCAAGAGAAAGCAAAGGCAGATCAGGAGAAAACAGAGTTAGATGCAGAGAGAGTAAAGCTTCAGTCCAAGATCTCGTTGGTAGAAACGGAGAAACAGAACCTCCAACAAACCGTCTCCTCATTGGAGCAGGAAAAGCTGAGGTTAGAGACCGAAACTGAGGAGCTGCAGTCCTCGCAGTTGAAGCTGGAAGAGGTGAAGAACAACCTGTCTTCAGCTCTTTCCATGCTGGAAGAAGAGAAGCAACAGGCAACAGCGGAGAAGAAGAGGCTCGCACGGGAACATGAGGTTCTGCAGAAAACAGTCGCCTCCATGGAAGAAGAGCTGGAGACACACAAACGCTCCATGACCCAGCTCAGTGAGCAGGTTTGACAGAAATGGCCTTTATTTATACATCTTTAAAGTCCTAAATTAGTCTAACATGAATGCCTCAAAATATCTTAAGTTCATGTTTTTATTTACGTAACTGGCCTTCGGTATGTTACTCATAGGCCTTTTTGTTTTGACAAGACTATTTAATCTCATATATTCTGTGTTTGTTTTTGTCTTGAGAAACTTTTCTATCAGGCAAAAGTTTCAGTCGCACAAGTTCTTGTGATCCGGTTCCCTGGGAACTTGGAACTGGTTTGACGTCAGACTTGGCTGATAAACACATCAGCGTTTCATACGAGTCGACATCAGTAATAGTTTTTGTTTGTTTTAAATCTCTGACAGACTTCCAAACTGGTGACACAACATTTCTGGTTTTGTTTCCATTCCACACTGCGGTTGTTTATTTTTTAGCATCGTGGAGAACCAACAAACTACCCCAGTTACTGGACAGGTTGTTGCTAGGTAGCCAATGAGTTGCTAGGTAACCCAACAGTGAGCGAGAGGATGAGCGGCTAGTCTGACCTACATTTCCCACAATGCTCTGCGGTCCTGGATCGGATTATCCTGACATATATCGATATCGATCGCCTGCCTTTCCTGACATATTATTGATTTACTGTTCAGACCTGAACAGTAAATAACTATAACGGCGTTCTAGTTAAGAAATCTGAATTTCAACATGGCGACGCCCAGAAACATTATTTGCACTAGCCTGGATATAAAAACCTGGACCTGGTGCTTCATGTTCTCTTCTCTGCGTCCGTCCATCCAGGTCTCTGAATTGACTTCCAGTTTAGCTCGTCTGACTAAAGAGAGAGACTCTGCTCTGAGCAAAATGAACCTTTGGATGAAGACCTGCAAACAGCTGGAGCAGGAGAAGCAGAGCATCCTGAACAGCTCAGGTACGACTCACTGGCAGACGATTACAAATTGTAACTATTGAAGAATTATTGACTTAAAACAAACTCATGTTTCTTGCTTAACAGTTTGTTGCAAGTTAGTTTTGTCTTATTTCAAGTGTACTAAAATATTTGAGCTAGAAACTGGATCGAACATACTTGGTAAGATTTAGTATTTTTCCAGTGAATCTAATGTTTTCATTAGCTGTAGCTGAACTGAAATACACATTTAGCATCTTAATCTATACAAGTTTAACTTTTTGCATTAAATGAAACCTTAATTTAATGAGAAGCAGCGAAAATTGAGTTAATGTAAACTTGTCTCATGCATTGTGTGTAAATGTTTTCATCTCTTGTTTCGGAAGAAGGAAGAAGCAGTGAGGAGTTTCAGGCTGAAGCGACCCAGCTGAGGGCGCAGGCAGAGGTCAGGGAGAAAGAAGTGCAAGAACTGAAAACCGCCCTGGAGAAAAAAACGACAGAGGCTGAGGAAAGACGACAAGAACTGAAGCAAAAGGAGGAAGAGGTGAGGGAGAGAGCGGCTGCTCTGGAGGGAGTGAGAACAGAGAAGGAAAGGGAGCTGGAGGAGATCAGGAAGGAGCTGGATGAGGCTAACGCGCTTCTGGAGGAGAAAAGCACGGAGGCCGACGAGAGCATGGAGAAATACTGCAGCCTGATGGTTAAAGTCCACAAGCTAGAGGAGAGCAATGACGCGCTGAAGACCCGACTGGAGCAGCTCACTGCCAGCCAGCCTGTGAACGAAGCCAAGGTCCCTCCTGAAACCCGCCGGCGTTCAGCGAGGAAGTCTGCCTCCAAACACCAGGAAGAAAAAATGAGTGAAAACACCGAGAATCTGGCTCCCACGACAACGCCGAGCTCTCCGCAGGGGTGGTCTCCGGGGAAACGGGGTCACAAGGAGATCAGTGACAGAGACGGCGCCCAGGAGGCTCTGCACAACCTGACCAAGAAACTGAAAGCCAACACCGCGACGCCCAGAGGAAGAGCAGAACAGGACGACGAAGAGTTCAGACCAGAAGGCCTGCCTGACCTGGTGCAGAAAGGTCAGTGAGGGGATCTGCTGGATTACTGGGAGAAAACCAGTGGATCAATACACAGAACACAGCAAAGATCCATGTTTTTAGATTTTATTTCATTGTTTTTAACTTTGTCTCTTAGGGTTTGCTGATATCCCACTGGGGGAGGCCAGTCCGTATATCATCCGGAGGACCACCGGGAGGCGCTGCAGTCCTCGGCTGGCTGCCAGGCAGACTCAGCCTGACGTCAAGGTGAGCAGCTCTTCATCCACAGGCCTCTTCCTCACCCACACCGCGCTGTTTTCCTCTCAGCCAATCAGATCGCAGTGTTTCAATCTGGTGAGAACCGATTCTCCTAAAGAATGATTCTTCTTCTACAAAAAAGCAACTATTTTATTTAGAAAAGCTTCTTTGTTTTGCATCCAACAAAATAAAATGTAAACATGGATTTACACTTTTCATGTTTATGACAAAATATATCAAAATCAAACTTTTATTTTATTGATAAACAAAAATATGTTTAATGACTCATTCAGATGTTAAATTTATCTACAAAATTAAATGTTATTAAAATAGGATGAAGAAAAATTAGTTTGCGCTTTTGCATGGCAACCCTAGCAGTTAATCAAATATGAGAGGTAAACCTCGAAACTTTACACACAACTTATCAAACCTCAGAGAAAATTGAACAGTTTAACTAAGTTGGTTTTTGCTGTTGTTTTTCTGACTTGTTTGTGGGTCGGACTTGGCTGCTTTCAGTGCATGGCACCGTGCTGTTTGTGCTCTGTAATGAAACCTGCTGAGTGTCTAAAACTGTTTATGGGCCGACTTGAGGCACATCCTTACTAAGGACAACTCTGGGGGAAGAAAACATTTAAAAACTTCTGTTTTCCTCACAGCCAGTATGCAATAAAGAGGTTAAACTCCCTAAATTATCATCAAAAGTAATGATTTTGCCTATAAAAGTAGGAAAATAAAAGAAATCTAAAGTTCTTTTTCAGTTTCTACATAACTGACCTTTGACCTTTCTGCCCCACAGGTTTTGGGGTCGGTCCATCTGCAGAGTCCCTCTGGTTCATCATCGGACGGCTCTGACGGGCAGCGCCAGCCTCCGCGTGGCGAACAGGAAGCAGAGCAGAGAGAGAAGCAGGTTTTAGTGGAGCGAACAAAGCAGGGAGAAAACTGTCATGTTCAGTAGATCACTTCACACACGCAAACTAATGTTCGCTTGATCACGAGGTTGTTTAAAATTTCACCTAATGGTATATAGGGCCTACATTTTTCACTTTTTCATTTGAGGAGAAAGCACTTCTGTTTTTTTTTTTTGTCTGATTGAAACGAAGCATTTCCTGTTCTGTTTATTCTGCATGCAGCTCGGCGTCATCAGGAAGAAATGGAAATATGAAAATCTTTTTTTCTTCCTATCATTGCTTTTTGTTCAGCTGTTTATTTTTTTACTACATTTTTTAAAACACTTTTTTAAATTAGTCAGACGTATTGTAGCTGTTTGTCATTTTTCTGCCTTTATTTTACTGTCACTCTCTCGCTGTAAGAAATACTTTTTAGCTCATTTTTTTTCTGTAAATGATGGCAGCTGACTTCTTACATTTCCATCTTTTTCTGCTTTGTATTGATGTCTAACGTTTTTTAATAAACCCATTTTAACAACTTGTATACTTTATTAATTAAATATGCAATTTACCAAGTTTTGACAACTCCTTTTTTTTTTTAACAATATGAGCAGCAACTTAAGTTATGCTAAATTTAACTGACTTCAAAGGTAGATTAGAGACATTCATGAGTTTCAATTACTAAAAGAAATGATGGATAATTTTTATCTGCAAGAAAATGAATTCTGCATTTGGTAAATTAGGATTAAAGATAATTTATGTATAAAGATTGAAGTGATCCAAATATGGAGCTATGAGGAACTCCTTTTGGAGGAGCTTAGTAAATCGCATTATGGAAAATTATGAACTCTGAGACGTTAAATATCTTAAACGTTGGCACTATTTAATCTATCACCAACACAGCTTGTGGGGCCATAAGAAGTGATAATTCTTATGCGACACATGAGTCCAAACTGTTCTATGGGAATCAGTTTGGATTTATTTAAATTTCTGCCTTCTTCTGATGCACCTGATTTCAACACCAAGAGCAGGAATCTGCATTTCTGGTTGAATATTGGCATCTCTGAGGAGACTGCTTTGAAATCTCACCTGTTGTAATTTTCTCCTGTGTGTGGGACAGCGGGGCACGGTGAGGTTATGGGAACAGATCAGGAGTGGACACAGTCCCACACACCTCTGGACGGACACAGTCATGTTCTGATGTCTCTGGCCGGAGCTGCTAGCGGAAGCTGCAGTGCCAGAACCAACTCTGGCCTGCGACACGGGAAATAAAGAGATGGGACTGCTGAGCTGTGTTTTCACTGGCACTCTGGCTCAGGAGTGTGTGTTTGTCTATGCATGTGTGTGTCTGTCCTTCTGTGGACCTGACAGACCGACTGACTGTCGATCCCCCTGCAGTATGCATGATTTATCCCATTCTTTACCCAGCAACACTGTGTAAGCAGCAGCAGCTCACAGAGTCACCAGGCAGGAAGTGCCCACTGATGGCCATGAAGAGGACCGAGGGAAAGAAAGATGGTGGAAACATTTAGTTAACGCAGCCTGGCCGTTATTTCTACACTGTTCCACTTCATTCAAGTCTCACTTACAGCACAGTCTGGGATTTCTCCCATCCACATGCATTCAATCGGTGCATTTCCTACCAATCAGCAAACAGAAGGAGTTGTGAAGGAGGATGTCGATTTTCTACAGACAAGTTGTATTTTAGCAATGGTAACGGAGGAAGTCAATGAAGCAGCTAAGAAATATTAACAGCCATATTATTGAAATCTGCACTTCTCTCTGCAGTGGATGGTTTTATTTACAGCACAGGCAATTTCCCTGAAGCTACATAATGTCTAATTGGTGCATAACATGCGTCCATTAGTCCAAACGTTGACAATAGGGAAAGGCTCCAAACTTCAACAGAGTCCAGCTTCCAGGAAGCAATTGTTTCTCAATAGACCCCGTAGAAAACTAAGAGTGAAGAAGGTTTTAACCAGGCTAGTGAAGGTGAGGCTTAGAGTAGTTTTTAAATATTTATAATGTGTTTGTCATGTTTTAGACGTGTTTTTTATAAGATGACAGTTTTTTTATATGAGCACTTCTTATGCTTCCATTTGGGACTGAACTGTTTCTAAAAACAACCAAAGTGCTCATATTAAAAACAATGCAGTTTTTTGGTGTTGGCAGTAGAATTGGTCAAAGGTTTGGTCAGAGGGTTCCAACCTTTCCTACTGAATAAATTCACCACCATTTATTCTTATCTGATTAGTGTAACATCATGACTTTTTCTCAATATTACAATTGTCTGAAATACTTTGTTTTGACTTTTTATCATCTGTAAGCCACCAAAATGACAACAAATAAACCTGGTGTGTCTGAATTGAAGTTAATAGGAATAGAAAAACTTCTGATCCATTTTTGAAGTAAAAGTCTTAAAGTCTTCAACTTTTCTTCTTCTCACCAGTGATGTCCTGAGATTTGTTTTCTGACTTTAGTTTGTCGCGTTTTCATCTCGCTTTGTTAAAGCGATCGGTTTTATTTATATTTTTTTCAATTTCATTTATTAAATAGAGATGTACACAATCCTACTGAGAGTTGGGGGAGTGAGGAGTTAAAAACCAATGTGATATTTAAATGATAAATACTGCATGCTTAAATTTACTCATTAAATTTTGGGAAACGTTTAATCGGATTAACACACTCAGGTCTCTTGACCTTGCATGGCCGCTTCAGTTCAGAAATATGTTCATAATCCATCATACTGTATCTGCATAGCTGTGTTTATTCAGTTCTGTACTTTCTGCTTTTATAACTTTTTGTCACGCATCATAAGACCTTTAGCTACAGTCCTGTCCCACTCATGGGACGGCTCCATCACCCAGGAAGTTTGAACATTAATGGTTTCTCAGTGGAACAGCGGCTGTGAACTCTGTGACACAGAAAGCTCAGCTGCACCTCCATAAATTAGAATATCATTGAGAACTTATTTTATTTGAATAATTCAGTTCATTCAAGCTCTGCACACTTCCTGTAGGTTTCTCTGAGGTCTTGATTTATAAATGAAATTAAAGCTTTACCTTTTGTAAAGGGAGCTCAGCCAGTTTAACGAAAGTTTTTAGTTCATTTTTAGATGCAGAGTTCAGTCAATTGAATGCTTAATACAAAATTAAGCATATCGGAAACCATCAATCAATAAATCAAGTTAATTTGAATAGCACATTACAGCAACAAGACAATTCAAAGTGCTTTATATCATCAAAACACAAAAATAAAAAGTTATAAAAACAACATAGTCACTAATTGAAAAGCCAGTAACAAACATTACATTTTATCAGGTGCCCTCATCTAAATCATCAATAAATGTCCAATGTCAATGTTTCTCTAACAACAACTCTAAACAGCTGAGTTTTTAGTCTAGATTTAAAGGAACTCAGTGTTTCAGCTGTTTTACAGTTTTCTGAAAGTCTATTCCAGATTTGTGGAGCATAGAAGCTGAATGCTGCTTCTCCTCGTTTGGTTCTGGTTCTCAGCAGCTGTTTGATTTGTTTGACAGGCCTGTGAAGACGCTGTTGCAATAATCAATGTGACTGAAGATAAACCCATGGATGAGTTTCTCTAGATTTGGCTGAGACATTAGTCCTCTAATCCTGGAGATGTTCTTCAGGTGATAGAAGGCCGACTTTATAACTGTCTTTATGTGGCTCTCCATGTTCAGGTCAGAGTCCATCACAACTCCATTACCATTTCTAGTGATTTCAGTTAACAAAAATGTTTTCTGAGTTTCAGTTTTTATTTCATTAGTTATAGTTAACATTGATCCAAAGAGGTCTTATTATGTATTTACTACATGATGCCAATCAAGTAACTATGTTTACTTCAATTGTTATAAAAAGATTTATATATATGAAATATTACTTAAAATAAATTTTACTTCCTAATTTAATGCCTTGAAATTGGGTATTTGTCTCTTTAAAAACTCCTGCTCTTTCTGAAATTCTGCCTTCAGGAAGTCATTATTACATCGCTCCTCTATTAACCCTTTAACAACCTTTTTACCGGCGTTGAATTGAGAAGAAGTTCGTACAACGAGCTCAGTAGTTGCCCAGTTCCACCAAATGTTTGCTATTTGCTGCTGGCTAGTCTGAAGGAACTGAGTGGGGGAATCACAGGGGTTGACTGCTCTGTGAAGTGAGAACCTTGGAGGCGGCGCTAAGTACACTTGGGCATTTGCACACCCTAAAAGCAGCCTGTAAGATGCTTAAAAAAGTGTCCAAAAACTCTTAAATGTCATCAGGGTTTTTCTACTGCCAAGGTAAAAATCTACACTTCAAAAAGCAGAAAAAACACTGGAAGTTTAACTTTCATGGTAGAAAACATGTGCTACGATAAAACAGAAAAGTCTAAAGTTTGCCAGAGTGAATGTAGATCTGGAATATTGTGGTTTAGAAACGAGTCACCAGAACACCAAGGACAGCTTTCCAAAAGAAATAAACTCATATTAACTGTGAAGCAGCACAAAGAGAGAAGCATCGGAAGTAGCAATGTTGCCTCAGAATACACAACTTTTGTTCATATCTATTGTTAGTGTCTCACCAGCTGCTGATTTGACAGACTTGCAGTCAGTAAAGTGTTTGTTGTTCTATGTCATGATAAAGTAACGGTGAGGTCAAAGATCAACATACCATCCAGTCAATAAAAACAGTCAAATTAGAAAACAGATTTTAATTATCACAAAGGTTTTTTGTGGTAATAATAAACGATAACAGCCCAATGCAATATGCAGAAGAGAACGTGTGCAGAATCAGAGTTGTCCATGGAAATAAGACATTGATAGGAGCTACTGTGTTATACAATGAATTATTAAAACATTTAGGTAAAAAATGAAGATCAAGCTGTTCAGTTTTATATTTGATGTTTTTCAGGCCTGAAGTTGTAAATCTTTTGCTTAAAACTGCAAATAGTAGCAGGGGCTCCATTCAAAGTTGTCAAACTGTGTATTTAACATGATTAATTGTTAAAATGCATTACAAAGACAGATTATGTGTTGAAATATGAGGCTTCCACAAGCCTGGATAACAACTTACTTTCACTAAATCTACGGTCCTAAGAGGCATTTGAGGCCACGTGCAAAAAGCTTATTCTTCAGCCTACATGACGTTTTTGTTTTCTAAAAATACAAAATAACGTGCTTCAGTTACAGAAAGGCACTGTGTGACAAATTCAAGTTTTTCCAAATGTTAAACATTAGACTTTAGGCCTCAACAGTGGATAACGACTTTGAGGTGAGGTTTATAAAGTTACACAGTAAAATTAAAAGCACTATTTGGTTTATTTAGCCTGTCAGAGAAAAGAAATAGATGATCATTTGTCAAAGTCAATATGTTATTCATACATTTATAAATGTCACAGTTCCAAACTAAATATTTAATTAATGAGCTAAATATTTAGCCTACAAGTTAATTATTTAGTTTAAAAACTAGATTTGAAATGTAGATAGGAAGGTAAATATTTGGGTTGTAAACTAAATATTTATTTTTGTTAACATCTAATTTCTA